ACAGGAGCCAGGACCAATTCGGACTCCTTCTCGTGGAACGCTTTCATCTTAGCCCAGACCAGGAAAGTTGCCTCCCAATTCAGCGCCGATTCCTCCTTGAGTTCTTTGACAGCCCTTGTCAAGCCCTTGACTGCTGAGACCATCTCATGGATACCGTTCCAAAGCCAACGTGAATCAGATGTGGCAGCATAATGGGTGGCCATAAGGATTTCAGCAGCCTCCATGCCCTTGGTCTGAGCATTGGCAACGGTAACGCACTCGGCTAGGTTTCGGGCGGTTTCTCGAACGGCGGCCTTGAACTGCTTGACATCCTTCTAATAGGCAACCACAGCTTCCTCATCCTCATCCCCTTCGGCAGGGTTTCCAATCAGACTGTAGTATTCTTCCAGAGCACCCCTAAGGGCAGAGTACTCTTGGCCGACGAAAGAAGGAATCTGCTAGGATTAGTAAAGGAACCCTATCGGACTCGGACACTCACTGGATTGCAATACTCATTCTAGGAGATACAGTACTGGCACTTCTTGGAATTCTTTAACTCAAAATTGAAATTGTCGAACCTGCCCCTAGCCAGAGCCCTAACTGCTCTCATACAGAGAGCGCGATGAGCGACTGGGAGGACTCCTGGTGGTACTAGTACTGGCATGGCTGAAGGTTCTGATTCAGATTAGCAACTGTTCAATCACATAGATCAAATACTTACTGGATTTTGGATGGATTGGGTTAAATAATTGAAAAATTGGGGATATAGGAGTGAGAAAGTTGGTGGGTGGAGGGCTAGTTATAGGCAGGCCGGGGATAGGGGTCCGTGCCCTGGGAAGAAGAAGTGAAGGTGAAGGCAGAGGTGAAGGTGGAATTATTTGCAAAAAGCTCTTCTTTGATGAGGGATCCGAACCTGATCCTAAGGATAGGGACTATCCTTTCTCTACAGGAGGGGGTAGTGTAACAATGAGGCAGAATTGCCTGCCTATTATTCCATGCCGAGTCAGGCCCGATAAAGGCCCGACTCACTGATGTATATAGAGAACAGCTCGCCCATGGTTAGGATAGGCATGTTCTTCTTGTCCTTTCGTACAAGACCTATAGGTGTAGGAATCTCATCCTTTTCCGTACAGACGCGCACTCCCATATGCCTTTGAGTCGTATAGGATACCTTTCGGATGCCCTACCTACCTGAGTCGTTACACTAATAGCTATCTAAATTAGTTAATTTAGTAGCTTCTTCTTCCTTAAAATTCTTAATAACCTATTCTATATCTATAGCCTAAATCCTAGGGGGTTTAAGGTAGTTACTAGAGAAGTGCCTAGGCTTTCTATAATTATAGTAATTTACTAAGGTTCCTATTATAGTAGCGCTAGGAGTGGCTAGCGTAGTAGATAGGGGTTAATAATTTTAAGGGGTAGTGCCTTATTATTATAAGTAGGGTATATAAAGTTTAGCTATTAAAGGTCTATTATAGGGTTTCTAATTAGCATCTAAATAAGACTAGTTTCTAGAGTGTTAGAAGGGGGTTAGTCCTTTTCTAGATAATAGAGTAGTCTAGGTAGGAGTAGATAAGGTAGGGTATAGGCGGCGTTCTATATTAAAAGTAGTAAGATAATCTACTATAGTCTTAAAATTATTATACTAATTCTATTAGAAAGCAAGATTTAGTATCCTTAGGAAAGGTGTAATCTTTATCTAGAGGTAGTAATACTACTCTAATTAGGGTACTTCTCCTCTAATAGCAAGACTCTAGAATTATAACTTAAAAGTAAGGAATATATCTATATTAGTTATATATAGGCAGTTAAATATAGTCTAACTCTTAGCTATCTTATTTCTAGTAATAAAGTAAGTTTAAAGGAGGGTAATTATTTCCTTAGCTTTTTAGAAATAAAGACCTTAGGAGTTAGATAGGTAACGTGGCTCTAATAACTCTCTTGCTAGTCCTAACTAGTGTCCCTAGACTACTGCTATCTACGCTCTAGAAGAGGGGTAGTAATTAGTGTTAATCTCTAGCCTATCCTAAATAGATACTTTCTATTATCTAAAAGTAGGATTAGCACTATTACTAAGTATAGAGATATTTAGCGTCTTTTTAGATTATCTCTTAGCTTTTATAGCATATACTATAGGGTTTAATATAGAAGCTAAAGACTAGCTAGGTTAGGTAGTACCCTATATCTCCTTATAGAGGGAGGTGTTATATAACTAATTAGTAAGTTGCTTAACTTGTTCCTCTAACCTCTCCTTTTTAGATAGGGTTAATATATATTTATCTTTAAGGGAGGTATTACTTTAAGATTTCCTAAGAGCATAAGGTACCTTAAGAGATAGATAGGAAGCAGGTCCTTTAAGGAGGGCGTTGTTAATTAAGTCTTCTTTATCTAATTTCTTTCTATTAGTAAATAGGCTTTTAAACGCAGCTAAACTAGATACCCTTCCTTTACCTTTGTCTAATATTTTATAGTTAATAAGAATAATAAATCTTTTCTTTTTAGGGGGGGTTTAGTTATAGGAGGATATTAGCTTTACCTCTAATTCCTCTAGGCTTTTAGTAGTCTCTAGGTCTCTACCTTAACGCAATCTAACGCGATTTTTCTAAAGGTAATCTAGCACCACCTATAAGTCTAGAAGTCTAAGCCTATAGGCTTTAGTTATTAGAAGTTCTAATAGCTATTCTAACTATAGAGTTACAGGGTTAGGTAGCTACTAGAACTAAATTAGTAGCTTAAAATAATAATAAGTGCAATATTCTTAAATACTATTACTAGCTAGGATAATGTTCTTCTTATAATATAACAACTTAGGTAGGTAAGGCATCTAAAAGGTATCCTATATAACTTAAAGGTATATAGGAGTGCGCGTCTATATAGAAAAAGGATAAGATTCCTACACCTATAGGTCTTATATAAAAGGACAAGAAGAATATGCCTATCCTAACTATAGGCGAGCTGTTCTCTATATACATTAGTAAGTCAGGCCTTTATTAGGCCTGACTTGGCATAGAACAATAGGCAGGCAATTCTACCTTATTGTTACACTTTAGATATACAACGCTCTAATTAGCTATACTACCTACTAACTATAAGCGCAACTACAATAATAAAAGATCTACCTATACCTAAGGGGTGTGTTGTAGGAGGGATATTAACTAGATTACAGAGCATCTTAATCTAATTAACTCTAATTAATACCCCTATAGGACCTACTATCTAATTAACTACTAGCTTACTGCTAAGTGCCTAATAAAAAGCAGGAGCTCTAGTAAGGAAGGTTTACTAATTATTTACCTTCTAGTAAGGGTAGCTAAAGCTCTATATATATAAGTACGATCGTAGTAGATACAATCTAATAATCTATCTCCTAAATTATTCCTAACCTTAGTGATCCAAATTTCCACAAAAAGCTAGACTTAACTATTAACTATTAATATTAGATAGGTATTTATCTTATTTAAGTTTAGAGTTTTTAGAATATTACTACTAAACTTTACTTAATTTTATAGGTATTTAATATTGTCCTTGTTTTACTTCTAAATAGTATTTATACCTATAACCTTACTAACTATATTATAATAAACAAAGGGCTACTTGTATCTAAAGAAACGAACTTAAATATTCTATTTAAGCTATCCTAGAACTTCTTATTTTATAAGAATATTATTAAATTTATATTCAAAGTAGATAGGATATAATCTATAGATACTAAAAAAGTTCTTAAAAAGTTCTATCTATACCTAATATTAACACTTGAAATCCCTTCTATACTTAATACTACTAGCTAATACTATATTAATAACCTTATTAAAAACTACATATATTAGGTAGATATTATTAACAAAATTTAACTTTTAATTTAGATATTAAACATACTACTTAAATATAAAAACTAGAGACTATAATATTTCTTCTTACTTAAATATAGAAATGCTAAAATCTTAGTAAATATTTTAGAGCTTAAAAATAAAACACAATATTGTAGTATAATAATTTAATATTTACTATCTATTATTAAAAAAGCTACTAATACAAAAAAGTGCGCTAAAAAAAGTATACGTAAGTTTAAATAAAAAAGCTTTAAAAAGCTAATAATTTATATATATAAAAGCTAGCTAAAGAGAAGTATATTAAGCATTTAAAAAATTAAGCTTAAAAAGTTATTATATAGATAGCTAAAAAATCCTAGAATAATACTTTAAATTCTATTCTAATATCCTAATCTAGTATGTATAAGGCCTTATTTTTATACTTGTATTATAACTAGCTAAAAAATTAATATATAAGTAGAACTATTAGGAATAAGGTAGTAAAGGTACCTATACTAGCACCTCTACTACCTACTACTTACTATAGGTAGAATATTCTTCTACTAGGCTAATATAAATAGTATATAATAGCTTTCCTACTATATATTCCTACCCTAAAAAGTCTTATAATAATACCTACTATAGGTAGCGTAATTTCCTTATATTTATAGTGCTTGGTATACTGTTAGGGTGGCAATAGGTTGAACACGGCCATAGCGCGCGCCCTCGGTAGCTGGTGGGTTACCTACCGGTACCTGGGCAAAGCTGCTGCTCATGTTGCTGCTAGAGTCTTGGAATCGGTCAAAGGGCAGATGGTATCTCACAATACATACCGTAATCTTCATCCATCTCAACTGTAAACTGACGGTGTGCGGACGTACATGCCCCGAGCGAGAATGCGAGCCCAAACTTGGTGGCGTACCGTACCGGTACATGACGAGGTGTTTGCCCGGGTTATCCATCGGGCCGATAACTAACTCATCTCCCCCAGCTGCGCTTTTATTTTCTGGGGCCCCTCTTCTCCCTTTTCCTCGGGGCGACCGCCGTTCTGGCTAGTCCTTCACCGACCACGACGCATTTACGGTACACCAAGCTCCCTGCCACGTTCCTGGCAGATGGCCTTGTATTCACTGAAGAACCATGTCCTCGGATTGACTGCGTACTCGCCTAGGTCTCCTTTAGCACCTCCCGTGACACCCGCACCTCTCCACGATGACGCTGTTTTCCCGAGCTCGGTACAAGTCAAGGTGAGCAGGGATGGATGCTCGACCAGTATTAAAAGTCTTTAGTGTCCTGCGATGCCTAGACAGCCTTCGGTCCAGCAGACCACCTCTCCAATTTTGCCCGTCCGCTTTGTCGCCCACGATGCCGTCCACATTCACGGTGCTAAGTGCCGGCCTGGTTGCAGCTTCATCTGGTGCATTTGCGCAGAAAGTGCCCGAAACGGCCCAGGTCATTGATCAGAAGTTGTTCAATGTCTTAGACGTCGTCCCACCGCCCTCAGTGTTCAATGGATCCACGGTATGTTTACATGGCTCTGCACGACTTGGCTGAGAGTGTCAACACTAACCTTGTGCCCAACATCTAGCTATTCACCTGGCCCGGTGTCACTGCAGAATCCTTGACGGCCAAACCGTTCCACATCTACGATGAGGAGTTTTATGATGTGATTGGCTCAGATCCAACTCTGACTCTAATCGCATCATCGGAGTCTGATCCCATCTTCCATGAGGCCGTGACCTGGTAAGCCTACCGGCTGCTGCGTTGGAAGCATATAACTCACCTACCGTAGGCACCCTCCTCGCGACGAAGTATTTTTCGTCCAGAACGCTGGTGCGCCTGCGGCAGGAACAGGTCTGAACAAATCATCCATTGTCCAGAAAATCTCGCTTGCGGAAGCAGAGGCTGTGCGCACTGGCAAGCTCGATGCCGTGACTGTCACGGTGGTCAATACCTCGAATCCCCAAGTTATCAACCCCAATGGTAGGTCCGATTGTCGCATATTGCATTGATGTATTTATGCAGTCCTAACTCAGTTGTCTAGGTGGAACCAACTACAAGGGTCAAATCATCTTCGCAGGAGAAGGCCAGGGCGCAGACATCACATCCGCGCTTTACCTCATGAACCCCGAGCCGCCGTACAACACGACCAGTAAGTCTCAAAAGGCATCGTTTGCACGCGCAACGTCACCTGACAAACTTGCAAAACAGCCCTTTTGAACAACTATTTCGGTCGCCAATTCAACTCGCTCAATGACCTGGTCGTGCATCCCAAGAATGGCGATGTCTACTTCACAGACACTCTCTACGGTTTCCTCCAGGACTTCCGTCCCCCGCCTGGCCTGCGAAACCAAGTCTACCGCCTCAACGTTGAGACTGGCGCGGTCACAGTTGTTGCAGATGACTTCACCCTGCCCAACGGTGCGTGGCATCATTTCCTTTACACAGGTGAACTTGGTTACTAACGATTATATAGGCATCACCATCAACCCCGAGGGTGATCGGGCGTACGTGACTGATACTGGCATCGCGCTCGGCTACTACGGCCGCAACCTCTCCTCGCCTGCTTCCGTGTACTCGTTTGATGTCAACGAGGATGGTACCTGGGAGAACCGTAAGACCTTTGCTTACACCCCAGCCTTTGTCCCAGATGGTACGTTTTCTCATGTTCGTTTTATTATCCATCATCCCCTGATCGCCTTTTCGATCATCACGAAAATACCGTACTTTCTCACAAAAGTTCTCGTATCCACTAACCCACTCAACCCTCCAGGCGTCCACACCGACTCCGAAGGCCGCGTCTATACCGGCTGCGGCGACGGCGTCCACGTCTTCAACACATCCGGTAAGCTCATTGGAAAAATCTACACGGGCATGTCAGCCGCGAACTTCCAATTTGCAGGTAAAGGCCGGATGATCATTACGGGGCAGACGAAGCTGTTTTATGTTACGCTTGCTGCTGAGGGAGCGCCGCTTACTTGAAGACGGTGAGGTGCGATGGTGCAGCTTTGCAAGCAAAGAGTAGAATAATGTGACCGCATGTATGTGGACTTAATCATAAAACTCTTCGCACGTGTAACATCTACACTGTCCTATCGTACATCATATCAATAACCTGCAACTCACTCAGTGAGCGTGCGCGGTGAAGGGATCACGACATCCGCAAGTCTAGCACGTTTCACGATTCGCTCCATACCGTGAGCATTTAGACTTTGGTACACCAAGCATTCTCTATCATGAGCAGCTTCAAAACCCATGTTGCACTCGTGACTTGCTTTTAGCTTGTCCATCGTGTAATGCAGCTGCAGCTAGAGGCAAGAAGAAGCCCTTCCACTCTCTAAAGTACCCTCTCATCACCCCAACTCCACAATCCCTCCCATCACCAGATGAAAATGCCGAGAGAAACATAGCCCCGTGTATCCCGCATTCTAACCCCTTTACTAGAACCACGCTTACCCTCCCTAGATTCCAACCATTCATCCAGGCCAAACGCATGAAATCATCCCCGTCCACTCCAAAGCTTTGCACACTGGAGGATGCAAGGTTACGTAAGCGTGAATGTAATGTAGTGCGGTATAGTAAGTAATGTGTATGTGTATACATTTCATGCATTGCAAACACGCACGCCCCAAGTGTCCGGCTCAGATACACAAAAAAGCAATATCGATTGCTTCTATTCACAAACACAGACAAGTCCTACAGGCATACAATCCCCTCCTTCCCCTTTGCTCCATGGTTCTTCAATCCAGCCAGCTGGCGAGCTCTGCGTGCCATCCCGCTCCCTCTCCCCGTTCCACCACATTCCTCACAGCATCCTACAATCCTCCAGAAGAACCCAATCTCACCACCCAACCCACGATCTACCTACAACCCTCCAAACTCTCACCTCTCCACTCCTCAAATCACCCATCCTGAAACTCTCCTGCTTGACCTTCTTATGTTCTCTGCCCTGTTCCCAAACTCGAACCTTCTTTTTACTTCCGTCCCACTCAACTACTACACCAACGTGATCCGGTTTGCCCACATCCACTGCATACTTTGCATGCATCGGTCCCGTCTTACCCTGAAACCTGGCGTTACGGAAAGTGATGATGTCACCAGGGCGAATCTCGTCAAACGACTGCGTCGATGCATTGGCCAGGTTGGCGTAGACAAGGGCGCCAAATGCTCGTGTGGATACGGGAGGAAGGGCGTCGGCAAGAGGTTTGAGAAGTTCATCGACTAGAGACCAGGGAGTTCCGGCGCCAACGACAGTGTTTTGCTTCAACTCGACGGCTTTAGCGATGGCGCGGCCATATTGTTCGTAGGCGGCCTCCAGTTGGTCGGGGCGTTGGGTTGGGGGTGGCGGGTCGTTGCGCTGTTCGAGCTCGACGTCAGAGACGTTGGAGAGGTCAAAGCGAGCAGACACAGTTGTTTGGGAGTAATCCAAGTGGAGGACCTTGACCAGCTTTTCAACCGTGTTACCGGACGTGCTCTCCTGCATATCTACAAGGATGTCTTTGCGGCCTTGTAGTGAAGGTGGCAGCATCTTTGGTTGAGTCCACCAGTGTGATGACATGCCAAGATCAATGTCCCTAGCAATGAAGTCTGCACCTAGGCCAGGCCGTGACTGGTCCATGGAAGGCCGACTGCCTAGAGCGCGGTTGGCATCCAGTGACTTCCGGCCTATTGGCATTCGAGGTTGGGGCTCCCCACCCGGTGCTGCCATGGTAGATCGATCTGGCGGCGGAGGTGGCGCAGGCCTTTCCTGGGGTGGGAGCGGAGGTGCAAACTGGCGCGGTGGAGGAGGGGGCGCATGTTGGTGAGCTGGCGGTGGAGCGGGTTGGTGTGGCGCTGCCTGAGGTGGTGGAGGTGGTCTTGGTCGATCGTGAGATTTTCTTGGTTGAGGAGCAGAATACAGATCATCCTCATCTGACTCTGGGGCTTGCCGGTGTACGGCAGGAGGCATCGACGGCGGCATAGGTGGTGGCGGCTTGTTATGCGGCTGGGGTGGTTGACTCTGTGGTGGCGGAGGCACAGCTCTCGGCATAGGAGGAGGTGACGCGACTGGGGGGCCAGCATACCGGTAAGGGTCATACTCATCATCGTCTTCGTCCAACTGGGCGTCATTAGTAGTGGGGCGAACCGGAGGTAGTGGCGGTGCACCGCGGGGAACATCGATTGATGATCGGCTAGGTGGTTGATGAGGTGGAGGAGGTGGAACGGCACGTGGAAGATGCGGTGGAAAAGGTGGAAGTCCATGAGGTGCTGTGGGCGAACGTGCGGGCGAGGGTTCCTCTGTCGTACTGCCGTCCATACTGGCCTCTCTTGCGTGCGATTTGAGGGCGTCTTTGTGCGTCGCACCAGACGCGATGTCGGTGTCATAGTCGCCTTCATAATCCGTCTCGCCCTCGTTGCGGTCCAGTCTCCTTGGCGGTTCCTCCCCATGTCGAGAAGGGGGCGCCTGTGTTGGGGGAGGCGGTGGAGGTGGGCGGCTCACTGCTGGTGATGATGGCCTCGCTGCTTGAAGCGGTATTGAAGGTGCTTGACGCATATTGTCCGAATTAAAGTATGAGTTTCGTTTCGTGGGACTGGCAAAGGGTGCAGACGGGGTGTTGGGTGACAAAGCACTGGGTGCGTCTGTCATCTCGTCTCCAGACTCTGAGCCTGGACCTGGCGAGAGGACTTGTGGGGGAGCTGGGGGAGCTGGCCGAGCTATAAGTTGGTTAGTGCTGTATAGGGCAGAGTGTTGTGTTGAACTCACTGGCAGAGGGGACAGGAGGGGCCAAGGGCCGTTCTGTCATGGTCAGCTTATTCAGAATAGATAATACGATAACAACACTCGAAGCCGTCCTGCTAGAACATACTAGACACGCTCACAGTCATCATGTACTCCGCAAACTCGTCGCAAGCAACATAGGTCTTGCAAACGGTCTCGAAGGATGATGGCTGAAAACAGTGCAGGCCTTGAAGAGCAAAAGGACCGAGTGGCTTGCGAGGAATTATGAACTTACTCTCCATGGGAACTGGCGGTGGTTGCTCGCCAGTCGGCGTTCGGTCAGTAAGATGAGGCTGCACATCCTCCACATCAGGGACTTCATCTGGACGATGAGCACTGGTGATTGGAGGTGCGGTCTCATCCTCCTTCTCGACCTGTAACACTTGTCTGTCCTCTTGCTCGGGGCTCTTGACGGTGGGCATGCCGGGCATCGGTAACATGGCTACGCGCTGTTGCGGGAGCGACGGCTCCTCGTCACCATCAACTCTCTTGCTCTCCAGGATCGGCTTCTTCTTCTTGGGTGGCGGCAAGCCGCCCATTGGAATCCCACCAAACATGCCTGGCATGCCCATGCCCCCGCTCATCTTGGCCATGCGTTCCCGCAGTTCGAGCTTCCGCCTTGTCTCAGCATCCATCTCGTCTTCTTCTTCCTCTTCCTCCCCTTCTTCCGGCTCAACATCTTGCTCATCGCCCACATCTGGCTCCTGTGTTGGTGCTGCGGCAGCTCTGATGGGTAGAGATGGTTGCGTTTGCTGCACATTGTTCCGCTCCTCATCACCTTCCACGCTCGTAGACTCGCCTCCAGCATCTTCCGTATCGCCGGCAGCCGATTGGTCGGCATCGTTTGCGTCACTGAGAATCTCGCGATGACGCTGGTGCTCGTCGGGCGACTTGATGTCGTGGGAGACGCGCGGAGGCCGGGCCTGGTCCATGGAGATGCGTTCTTTGGAGGCACCGCTTGCCACGCGCTCCAAGCCCGTGTCCTCACTATCTTCAGGATGCGCGTCGATTGATTCCGTTCTCTTCTTCACGGGTGGTCGCCTTGGCTTCTCCTTGTGCATCGCTGCTGCTCTGATGGCCTGCTCTTGCTGCTGCTTCTGGAGGAGCGCAATGCGCTCCTTGAGACTGACCTTGGGCTGACTCTCCTCTTCGGTGGCCGCTTGGGCAGGCGCATCATGAGCGACGAGCCCAGCCTTCTCTGCGGCATCATTGTCCTGTGCCTGGCGCTCGGCGATCTCGGGGTCTTCCTCCCGACGATATGTCTGGACCGGTGGCGCCTCCCGAACAGGAGGCACATAGGCATTGCGACTTGGCGGGGGGGCTACAAAGGGCTTCTTGATGAAGTTTGTAGGGGCACCGGCGGGCTTGAAGGGTTGAATGGGTGCGGCGGCAGGAGCATTGAAGGCTGCAATGCGGTCTCGAAAGGCGTTGGACTTGGCGGCGATGGGTGGCGGGGGCTTCTTGCTCGCAGGAGCCGGTTTCGCAGCGGACTCTTGCTGTAGCGGGGCCTGTGCGGGCAGCTCGGGGGCCCTACGGGTGGAGGCTGAGGCAGGTGACATGGGCGACATGGGCAGTGGCACGGTTTTGGCAGCCGCAGGCACCTCGAGCGGCGGAGGCTGAGCCCTGGGAGGCTCTGGCTCTTCATGGCGCACCGGTTCTGGCTCTGGTGCTGGTTCTGGTGCTGGTTCTGGTTCTGGTTCTGGTTCTGGTTCTGGTTCTGGCTGTTGGTCTGGCTCTTGCGGCTGCGGTGTGTCTGGAATCGGGGGTGCTGCTTGTACGGCGGGCTGCTCGGTGGTCTTATATCTTGATGCCCGGTTGGGCCGTGGTGGTGGCTCGGGCTCGTATTTCTCGACAAAGTTCCTGGGAAAGAGACCATCGCGCTTGGTGCCAGTATCGTCAATGTACTCGCCCACGTACCAGTCGTCGCCCTCTTCCTCGGTGACGGATATGATCTGGCCAGCCTTGAAATCCAGGTCGTCCTCGTGGGGCGACGAGTAGTCGTAGACGGCCTTGACCCTGTACATCATGGCCGCCGGCGACAGCTAGTTTATCCAATTCGAGAGCAGAAAGCAGAGATGCACGATGCACGTCAAAAGGGAGAGAGGGTCGATGCGGGGCGGCGCAGACGGAGAGGGTGAGGGTGAAGGTGAGATGAGATGTGGGTGTGGGTGGCAGTAGCTATGACTGATGACGCAGATGTGTCAGCGGCTTGCTTGTTTTGGGGAGGGGGGTCAATGGGATGGGCGGGATGGCGGGATGGCGGCGGAAGGGGGGTTGGGCTGGGTTGGTGAGGGGCACAAGGTTACCATTCACTTTGGGGGAAAGCTCCCATATGCAGCTCTCAGGGTTCGCCGAAGGATGTAGATGTTGTATTTTTTTTAAAAAAAAATTCCTTGTTTGTAGTTGAACGAACACAAGAAGGGCGACCGGTGGGGGACAGAGACAGAGACCAAGGGGGCGGGGGGGAACACGGAGACGGGGGAATGAGGAACACACAGGGAGAGAGAAAGAGACAGGAAGACAGAGAGAAGGAGAGAGAGAGAGAGAGAGAGAGAGAGAGAGAGAGAGAGAGTAAGAGGATCGTCCTTCTTGTTTGGCAGAGAGCGGGCGGGCGTGGGATTGGAAGCTTGTGGTGACGACTCCGGTTCAAAACAGCCCCGCCGCAGCCGATCCGCCGCTTGGCACAGCCCAAAGGAGGGAAGGGATGTCTCTTGCTTCCAACACACTTGTCGCAACCAAACCTACGAGCCGCCTCGAAAGAGATTGAGGACCCGACGAGACTCGATAGGCTGGGCCGGACTTGGAAAAGACTTTGCGACTTTTCGACGTCTGGACTGCCTGGACTGAGACTGACAGATTCATTCATTCACCGACTCTGCTCGTCTCCCTCACAGTGCCTTGTGCTGGGCTTGGGTTGGTTTGGCCTTCTAGCGCCACCTTCACACCTTCACGGGTCCTGGATATGGCCTGGTAGAGCAAGGGCAGCCGTGGATCCATTGCTTGCGCTTTTCCGTCCATCTTTCTGTCTACCTCGCCACGTATCTAACCTACCCATCCATCCACCTACATACATACCTCCTGCCTTACCACCCTCATCGCCAGCCATGCCCCCCAAGTCCATACTGAAGAATTCAACCACTACCGTCTCCACCACCGACATTCCACCCGGAAGAAAGCCAGCCAACCCCCGTCACCTCGATGTCGCCATTCATCATGCCAACATTCTCGAGGACCGCAAACGTGTCGAGGCTGCCGTGCTGGATGCCATCATCATGCTCATGGACTTTCCCTTGACACCCAGCGCCAACGCCAAAAGACCGTCGCCGTCGGATGCCCAACTCTTTATTGACAAACTCAACATCTTCCAGCCCGCCGACTACGATGCCCTGATAGAGGAACGCAACCTCACCGACAAGTGTGGCTACGCGCTCTGCAGCAACCCCAAGCAAAAGGCCCGCTCCACGGCGAGGAAACAGTTTATAGACACAGACCATGGCGTGGAAATCGTCGATCGAAAGGTGCTCGAGGTGTGGTGCTCAAGTGACTGCGCCAGACGAGCGCTCTACGTCAAGGTCCAGCTGAAGGAAGAGCCCGCGTGGTTGCGCCAGGGCGGCTTCGCCGACAAGATCGAGCTCATGGTGGACAACACTGAGGAACATGACAACGCACTGCCACTACCTCTCAAGAAGGAAGAAGATCAGTCTACCAATGCACAAGACGACGATGTATCTGCAGCGTGGGCAGCCCAAGAGGAAGCCATGGCAGAGCTAGCTCTTGAGCGCGGCGAGCAGCCAGGCCAATTCACCAAGGCGAACCCAGGCCTGGTCAAAGAGGATATCATGGAGAGGGCCACGAGCAATGCGCCACCGAAACCACCGACCCTTGTTGCCCAAGACATGGACAACACCACCATGGCCATTGAAGGCCACGTCCCTCGCATCGACAGGAAACGTAACGACGACGACGAGGATGAAGAGGATGCGCAAGACTGGGACAAGCATCTACCTGGATGAAGCTCAGAAGCCTGAATAGCGAATCAAAAAGAAAATATCGACAATGGAGCCTGGTACATTAACGTCCACACCTGTCACCACCAGCAACGGGCGCAGACATCTGGCGTGGACTTGATCTGCCAAATGGATCCATGGTATGAAGATCAGAATGCAGGTGCAGGTAAATGGACGATAAACTACCAGCATACAGGGGAAAGTGGTCGAGATTGGGGTAGACAATCTGAGACAATAAAGATGCAAGCAAAGTAATACAACCTACTTGACATCTACACAAGTCTACAATATGGAGGAGTAGAAGTTTGGTGATATGCTTGACATCTTCCTATGTATAGAGCATGAAGAAGGAATAGAGGTGTCCTAATATACTCGACATGCATGTGGGAAAGAATAGGGTTGATATTGTCACACACACACATACACTTGATACTCAAACCGATATAACGGAAAGACACAGTCCAGGTTTTCGAAAATACTTGAAATATGCATGAGAAAGAGATGAAGACAAGAATAGCAAAGAACATCAGTCTCTAAAATGTAACACACTCGACGTCTCAGCCTGCAACTACTCTCGCCATGCTCGCCCATGAGAAGACGCGGAAGTGCCAGACGCACGGACCTCCTCCCGCAACCTCCCATCCCAGTCAATCGCATCATGTCGATAATTCTCACGGCCGGCCAACAAGCTCGATCTCGACTTTGGCCGCCCAATTCAACGCCCTGCACGCGGCTGTCGCATCGCCATGTCTCTCAGCCGCCAATCCCTCTCGCCCACGGCAAATCTCCTGCGAAACTCGCGCCTCTTCTCGCTGCCCAATCCGCTGCCCAAACCACCCGTGGGCGAATCCTTTCGCTCTGGCATCACAAAGGCTTCCGATACTGCCACACTGCCCTACCCCACACAGCAAGCCATTGCGACGACCAAGAGCTCGCTAGCACGTGGCGACTGGGGACTGAAGAGGCCGCTGCCCCAACGGAGTTATCTGGTCCAAGTCAGTGACCCGGTCTTGAGGGTGAATCAGTTGGACACGATTGAGCATGTGACCGACTTCGACTCGGCAGCAGACCATGTGCGCACTCGCCAGAAATGGGAGGCCATGGGAGTGCCGATGATGAAGGGCATGACGCAGATGCGAGACAAGGACCTGTCCGGGACCCCGCCCGCAGGTGCCTTTGAGATCCGCGACGATACCACGAGCTATGACACTGAGCTGGGATTGGATGAGTCGGGTCTCTATCTCAAAGCCCTCAAGGACAATGTGAAGACGCAGGCAGATGCGACGAAGAAGGCGTTCGACACCCTGTGGATGAACAAGAGGCAGGCGCAAGAGGCAGAGTGGGATGCCCAGGGCGCCAGCGGGGACGGCCGTGTAGAGAAGATCAAGGCATTCGAGCAAGAGCAAGCCCAAGCCAGGAAACAGCTCAACAAGCAGCTGACTCGACTGCGCAAATCCGACTTTACCCCTTTCACCCCGCCTCCCGTCGACGCCGCCGTGCACAACACCAAGCGGTGGAAGCATGACGGTCCTTGGCTTCCTGGCATGAGCGCCGACGACTTCCTCGCCTACCTCAACAAGGAAATCACCAAACGCAAGCCCGAATTCCACAGGTATCTCGTCGAGTTTGTCAAGAATGAAATCTACACGACCCGGCGTCTGGCCGCCTCCCAGGCTGGCGAAGCGCCTCCCATGGACATGGCTGAGGCCGAAGCCTGGCATGCACGGCAAGAGAAGCAATGGCGAAACATTACACCTGACCAGATTGACGCAGGTATCAAATCACTCCGCAAAGAGACAGCCAACAACCCCTTGGGCTCCAAACTCGTCACCAAGCTCATCCTCCCCTTCCTCCGTCTACCAGCCATCAAATTCAAGTACACGTCCTACGCCGAAGACGCTTCGACGCGGGCCATTGACCAATATCAATTCGATCAAGAAACAGCGCCCTTGTCCACGCACCCCTCCGCCGGCCTAGGCTACCTCCGCACAAGATCCTACATAACCAACCACCCGATCCTAGGACCACAAGCCCAGCCCACCCCCGTCACCGCCCGCGTCATCCAGCCCCGCACCGCGGGCACGAGCAAGCAAGTCTACGCCCGCCTTGGTGTCGGCGGCTTCGTCGCCAACGACCAGTACCGCAGCACAGACGTCAGCTCCGGCAACCGCGCCGGTGTCAACAACGCCCGCGACGTCGAAACCATTGACATTGACACGCCCGGCGGCAAGAAACTCACCGTCCAGCCGCTCTTTGGCTCCGTCACCAATGACGGCCGCATCCACATCAAGGTCAAGCGCTCCCAAGGTCCAGAGGTCCAGGTCGCAAAGGGTGCGCTCGACGACAGGCCGCCGGTGCGCGAGTTTGCGCGTGTCGAGCGCATCGAGCGGTTCGCGAGCGGCAAGGAGAGCGGCGTCAAAGAGTTGGACGAGTTTAGTGGGAGAGCGAAGATGTTGAGTGGGTTTCTGGAAGGCTTGGGTGAGGGTCAAGGGAAAGGGGAGTGAGGTACGTGAGGAGGTTGGAGGTTTGCATCGAGTGAGGGATGAGATGGACTTGAGTTTTGGAGGGTTGCAGCCGGGGAGAGAGGAGATGGCTGCTTGTAATGTTGTACATGTACATCTATATCCATGGACTCATGGTTGACACGCTGTATGCATCGCTAGATACCATGACTCAATCCAGGTCACAAGGAGTAAAAGAAGTAGAGTAGCACTATGCTATACAGTACTGCTATATAGAATAAATCGCTTACTTCTTGAGTTCCCCCCCTTCATACGAGTACGTTAGCGAAAGCTGTACATGGCCATTCCTATCCCGCGTACGTAGCAAACTGTTGGGTATATCTATGTTGAAAATGTAGTATCCGACAACACCACCGTCCAGCACCGCATGGGTTTGCCGGTTGGTGTAGATGCTGATTTCAAGATGGACAGAACAAGACCATCAAAGGATCTGCAAACACTTGTCATCCTCGTATCAAACTATGGCCATTCAATCATGCCAGAATCCTGCCAACAATGCAATACCGCGTCGCCCTATTCCAACACATTACACAACTATCTCACCTACTCTGCACCCATCATGTAAAGACAATAAATTCATAGCCGTCTATATAAACAGCCTAGATCCATGATATTTCGTCTCGTGCGCATATGCCTGAGCCTTGGCCTCGATCTTGCGTTTCGGAAAGCCGTCAAGGGAACGAGCATACGTTGCGACCGAGTGGGCGATGAGCTTGGGTGTATGCATTAGTCCATGATGATTCCTCAAAAAGGGTGAAAGGGGTGTATGTCATCTCTTCGTCCTTCGTACCTTTGTATTCACCACCCAAGCCGTCTGGTTGACATTTCCCACGTCATCACATAACTGGTGATAGCACGGATCATACCAGTCGCCCGCCTTGCCGCCAAACATGGCCTCCTCCTCCTTCGTCTTGACACCCTCTGCCCCCGTCGCAATGCCGCCTCCGGGAATCCCGTTGCGGATAAAACCATCGTAGTCGCTGCGGCCGTCAAAGGGGATAAACGTGTAGTTTAAGCCCTGGTCTTCATACCACTTGATGTACAAATCGCGCAATTCCTCGGAGCCCTGCGGGTTGGCGGCATTTGTGGCATTGTAGATTTGATAGGCAAAGTTTGGGCTGGCCATCATGTCGTAGTCCATGAAAAGGCGAATTTTGGCGTTCTCCGCCTCCGGCAGCGAGGCGACGTAGTAGTCTGAGCCGAGGAGGCCTTCTTCCTCGCCGGCCCACCAGGCGAAGCGGACGCAGTTGGTCACGTTGAATTTGGTGAGTTGGGCGGCGACTTCGAGGAGGGAGATTGTGCCTGAGCCGTCGTCGTTGATGCCGGGGCCTGCGGTGACGCTATCACTGTGTGCACCGAGCATGACGCAGTTTTCGGGGTCGCCTTGGGTGGTTTGCGCAATGATGTTGACGGTGAGGATTTGGTTGACTTCGGCGTCAATGTAGGCGATGCCATCTACGCGCTTGCCCTTGTCCAGCTTCTGCAGTACGGGCGCGGCATCTTCGCCCGAGAGACCAAAAGTGGCAATGTGGTCTGGCGATGGGGTGCCCAGTGTGCCGGAAACGGGGTCCTTGTCGTAATTGTAGACGACGGCGGCAACGGCGCCTTTGCGACCAGCATGCTCAGACTTGGTTCCAAAGGGGCAGACACCCCGCTTAATGAGGGCGATGTTGCCAGCTACCGAGTCGGGGAAGTCGGATTCCTGGCAGCCTTCGTTGGAGACGAGGATGAGGTCGCCGTGTACTGGCTCCTTGTGCTTTGTTGGCGGTGTCAGACCCATGGGTGCTGCCGACTTGGGCACGCCGTCGCCAATGACAAGACGTGACTCGAAGACATTGCCAGAAACAGCGGGGAAGGTTTGGTTTGAGATGGTGTAGTAGTCGCCCAGCTGAAGCACTGTTTCGTAAATGTAGGATAGAGTTCCAAGGTGGCCTTGAAGATTGTGAATATCATGCAGGTACAGTGAGCCAGGTGGGCACGTGAGACTACCTACCAGCACTGCCAATCACTCTTGTGGGATGGTTGTACTCGGCCTCTCCAAGTTTGGCGATTTCATACAGCTTTTTGGCCTGCACCATGAGCCTTTCTCCGCTGATGAGATCCTGAAGCTCGGTTGTATTGACCAGCGGTTTCTGGTGATGTCCCAGCGATGCCTGATTGGTTGACGACGATGACGAAGACAGAAGCGGTATTTGCAGGGCGGCAGCCCCTGTCCACGCTGCGCACAACGCCAATCCAGACTTGAAGGCCATGATGCGGGATGAGAAGGATGACGGGTGGGAAAATGGGAGGCTGGGAGATGGGGGATGGCGATGTTGGAGGTGTGAGTCGTGCTGTTGCCATGACGGCAGACCGGCGGCCAGACGTCGCGCCTTGACTTACCTTACCGGTACCGGTCTAGCGGCACCGGTACCCGGGCCATGTGTGAACACGCGCCCACTGATGACGCCTGTGCACGTGCACTGCCAGCTGACTAAGCCTCCAGACAAACAAACATGTCGTGGACAGTGAATTGGTTTGGATGGGAGACAGCTTTTGCAGTCTTGTTCATGGGCTCATTCCTTGGTGTCTTCTGGGCTGCACTATCCTGTTTGCTGTGTACCCCTACCATGGTCGGTGGCGGTGTGATGTCCACTTGGTTACCGGTATGGGTACCGGTACGGTCTGGAGACCAGTCTCTCAGTGTTGTAGAGTATGGTCGAAGATGCAATCAATGATTGGGCCCGCAGCAATGTGCTGCGCTGCGCCACTGTATCACTGTGCCACCCTAGACGTCCCAGTCGTCGACTCTGCTGCTGCAACTTTGGCGAGGGAGACAGTGCTTCAGACATCCAATAGAGAAAGCATGCATGTACTGTAGTATGTAGTTAGGGACTAGGATGACTAGATACGCGCGCAGGTAGCATACTACATACCTACCACAGTACACGTATCGATGTACCTACCATACCTAGTACCTACTTATACAGCACCAACCAATGACCACATGGCGTACATGGTTGAGTTGGCGGCTTCTCTTCCGATGCGGAGCCCTATTCGATCTGGCGCACTTATTCGATACGAACGGGGAGTAAGTTGAGGATTGTGATGTGCAAGATCGGTCCTTTCCCCTCCTTGGTAGGTATGGTTTCAAACGACTCCTAAAGTGGCTGTTGAGGACGAAAACATCAAGTCCAACGGCGGCAAGTTTCGAGACAGAGCCCAGTTCAATGCTCCAATCGACACGAGAACTCACCGCCGCCTTTGCCCACCGTCACCACAAGCCCCGGGATCAGTGGAGGTCGAGACCCTTCCCCTCGTCCCGTCCGCTCGACAATCGTGGGGGAATGGATGGGGAGCGCATTGGCCCGCCCGCAAGAATGGTGTGACATCACTGCGCAGGCGCCTCAATCCAGCTTGCTGATGGTACTTAAGTACGTAGGTAGTAAGTACATTAGAAATCACGGCTCGTGCAGCCAAGGGGCGCTTCGGGACGTTCAAGCTTTGCCGCGAACATGTCCTCGAGGCTTATGTAGTGACGTGTCTCCCTTGACGGTATCCCAAGCTGACAACTCTCAGACAAGCTGCGCCACAGGATAGCCAAAAGGAAATTCGCGCACCAAAGAGAAGTGGAGGTCTGCGTCGAATGGCCAGCGAATCACCCGATCGAGGCCCTGTGAAATGCTGTGAATTGGCTTTGCAGCAAAGTCTAATGCGGACAGCCCGCCCGTTGCACGATGCACTTGCATACCAAATTACCACTAGGACTCTGAGATTACAACCAAGGAAGCAGGGTAGCGTACCACGGTAGGCACGCTGTCAGTCTCAACGCCCGTCCAACGCCCGCCATGACGCTCGGTTCTTCTGTACCGCCTAGGCCGTTGAAGATCGCTCGTATCCTTGAATCGACTCTTGTCCCTACATTTACATAGTGCTTGCTATGTACACTCGCGCTTTGCTCTTGCTCTACTTTCTGTACCAATTTCCTCAGCCCTTCTTTGATCGCTGCGCGGCCTGAACCCAGCCGCTTGTCCTGAAACACACAAACATTGCCCAGTCAATGCCTTCATATAACCCCCAACCACGCGGCCGCACCAGGCGCACCTCGCAGAGTCGTGAGAGCACACAAGACCCCGCCATACCGCTCGCAACCATGTCACATTCACGCCCCTCACACGACTACCCACCAGGCAGGACCTCGCTTGCTCAGAATCGATTGTTGGCCGAATACAGAACTGAAAAGGCCAGACCCCACACCGGTCCACACGCCGACGACCTCACCCGGCGAGAGCGACGCCGTGATGTGCTACCGCAGTTCAACCACAATGGGCACGCCGTGACAAAGTACATTCACCCAGAGGGTGAGAGTGGTCGATCTGGCTTCAACCCCTTGAAATTCCTCGCCATCACTGGACGGAGTAGCAGCACGCCCTCTATGCTGTGTAATTTGCTGTGGCCTGTCGTTCCTGTTGCTATGGGCCTGGTAGGTTGAAATCCACCAAAGCCTTGATGAGGATGGTGGCTAATCATGCACAGCACTTTGCCCGTCCAGAATGGCATCTCGCCGTCTTCGTCACCAACTACGTCGCCATGCTTCCCGCTGCCAACTTGCTAGGTTTTGCCGGCCAGGAGCTGTCTCGCAAGATCATGCACAAGGGCATTGCCGTTGTTCTTGAGACCACGCTTGGATCCGTTGTTGAAATCATCTTGTTCATGACCTTGCTCAAGACATCTGTCGATGACTCCAACGTCATGGTCATCAAGGCCGCCATCTTGGGTTCCATCCTTGCCAACATGTTGCTCTGCTTGGGTTGCTGCTTCGTAGCCGGTGGCCTCAAGCACGATGTACAAGAGTTTCACTCTGCCATCTCCGAGAATAGCAGCGGGTTGATGCTCGTCGCTTCCAGTACGTCCTGCCCATGATCTTCTAGGGGGGAAACCGAACGAGACTAATAGCGACAGTGGCCCTACTCCTCCCAGCCGTCTTCTACAAGTACCTCTATAACAACCCCGACTACGATCAAGCCACGGATATCGCTCACAACACACTTCTCATCTCCCGTGGCGTCGCCATCATGTGTGTTGTCGGATACCTCGTTTACATTGTCTACCAAACCGTCTCGCACGACGGCCTATTCCACGAAATCTACGAGGCAGACGACTTGAAGGATAAAGATCGCCACGAAGAACTCGCAAAGCCCAAGCTCACTCTCATCGAAGTCATTGTTGCGCTCGTCATCGCTCTCGCATGCGTCTCGCTCATTGCCGTCTTCCTCGTTCTCCAAATTCCGTGGATTGTGGAGAAGCATGGTGTGAGCGATGCCTTTGTCGGTCTCATCCTTGTGCCTCTGGTCGAAAAGATTGCCGAGCATATACTGGCCATTGATGAGGCGTACGACAACCAGATCAACATGGCGCTTGCGCATGTACTTGGAGCATCGATTCAAACTGCCATGTTCAACGCGCCACTTGTTGTCCTGGTCGGCTGGGGTATTGGCGTGCACATGGACTACAACTTCGCCATGTTTGAAGCCGTTGCGCTGGTTCTTGCCGTCATTGCCGTTGGCTCCTTCTTGAGGGACAAAAAGTCAAACTACCTCGAGGGTGTGCTGTGTATTCTGGTCTACATCATCATTGCCATCTGCGCCTTCTATTTCCCGAATCCAGCGGGCCATGGGGCATCTCATGGCGCAAAAAGTACGAGTGCTGCAGGCGGCGAAGGTGGGGAAGGTGGCGGTCACTAGATTGGCCATGTCTTTGATGGCTGAGAATGCATTCATCAGGCGGGAGTGGAGTGAGGAATGGGTACAGGCTGGCAGCAGGTTGGGGTAGGGCCGGTCTGGGAGGTCGGGGCGGAATTTGCATTTTCTGTACTTGTGAAGCGATTATGTTTTGTCTGTCTCCTAGGTTAGCGAGCGACTGGGTCCAATGGTATTTGTCAAGAACACAATGATACATGTCAAGTGTCGTGCCGATCTGTGAGGATGGTGATGCTCTTGGCTCAAGTTCAAATCTGACAAGGACCCTGGCCGCGTTACTGGAATAGGTATAGCCCGACGCAGTGACCACCACACACACAATACGCGAGAATATCGCATCCAGCACCTCTCCTCTCCAGCGACAACAACTAACTCGACAGCCACCGCCCCTTCCCGTCCCTTCACGACCTCTTCCAATTCACATCAAAAGTCGCCAACATGGGTCGTGTCCGAACCAAGACCGTCAAGAAGTCCGCCAAGGTCATCATTGAGCGTTACTACCCCAAGCTCTCGCTCGACTTTGAGACCAACAAGAGGATTTGCGATGAGGTAAGGATATCTGATACGAGCATACATACGGCTGTGTGCTTGAAGGAAAACACAACTTCTCAGTTACAGTACAAGTCTGACGAAGCGATTAGATTGCCATCATCGCCTCGAAGCGCCTGCGCAACAAGATTGCCGGTTACACAACCCACTTGATGAAGCGCATTCAGCGTGGTCCCGTCCGCGGTATCTCCTTCAAGCTCCAGGAAGAGGAGCGTGAGCGCAAGGATCAATATGTTCCCGAGATCTCCGCTCTCGACTTCACCCAGAACAGCGAGTCTGGCTCCCTTGATGTCGACCAGGAGACCAAGGACCTGCTCAAGAGCCTCGGCGTATGTTTCTGCTCCCACGCTCATGCGCAAAGAATGGGTCACTAACCAAACTTTAGTTTGACAACATCCCCACAAACGTCATTGCCGTCTCCCAGCAACAAGTCGTCGAGCGCGGCCCCCGTCGCTTCAACGGTCCTCCCCGCTCTTAAATGGGTGTGTGGGCGAGTGCGAATCCGTCTTCCTCTTCTCGGCTTACTGAAAACATGGTGTCTGGGAATGGGTTTCTGCCAATACGTTCATGGTATGGGTCAACGGCTATATACGGTGGCATGATGATGCCGGGTCAATGAAAATAAAGGTTCTTCTCCCCCATTAGGTGTCGCTGAGTCTGAATGCCGCAAGACATGACGACGATGCTTGATTGCCATCTCCCTTCCCCCTCTACCCTCTTTGCCCGTGCATGTGATGTTACAGTGACGTTTGTGGGATGACAAGGGAAGTGAAGCAATGAAAGTAAGTATATTTAGGTAAGCATCACTCTATTTCCTAGTTCTCATTCTAGCGCTCCAAAATACTTTGCAGACTATTGGCTACCCGAATTCAATGAATCCAATGTTCCTCTTCTCAATGCAATTGTGTCGACCAAGTGCTCATCTGAACCATGTCGTCATGGCCATGCCCCAGAATAGCCCCTGGGCTTCTCGTGTCCCCTAGCATATTCCTTCTCGTTGACATTACCGGTCCTCTCATCCTTGTTGATCTCGAGCTCCCGGCCAATATCCAACACAGCGCGGCGGAGACTGGACGACCTATCAAGCATATCAGGGGCGTGATGCACCAGCCTTATACCTCCAGTCTCATCGCATGTCTGCACCTTGACATGAAATGGAAGCTCAGGAACACAACTCGCCTCATAGACCCGGACATTGCCACTGGGGAAGGGCCCAGCCAAGTCGTGAGCAACGGTGAGAATGGTAGGACCCGGTCCATGTTCCAAGGACGCCTGCGAGAGATGGCCATTCCCTGCAGCTTTGCAGGTACCGCTGCCAATTGAGCCCACCTCTGGATCAACTGGCTTGGGCTTAGTGTCCCGCGTGAGATAGGCCGCAATGAGTTTACCAGCTACACTGGTGGATATGAGGAAGATGAATATGCCGGAGACGATTAGGACGCCTTGAATGGCTGGGTGGATCTGAAAGGATCGGAGTTAGGGGAGGGTGATTCGAAGAGTAAAGAGGAAGTGGAAGAACTTACAGTCATTGTTGAGGATGAGGTGAAGGGTGGGGATATGTATTGAGGGACTTAATTCGCTGGGGCAAGATTCGGTGGAGTATGCGTGGATTCTGTCGAGGGAGGGTGGAGATTGTGTGTAGTGTTGTGCTGGCTGACGGCAGACCAAAGCCTGTACACAGTGTTAAGTTTCGCAAAAGTGAACTGAACTCGGACGAACGGGGGCCAACCAGTCAAATCAAACACACTCCCATTTCCCCAGCAAAAAAAGACCAGCCCATCCTGCCAACATCAGAACCTGCGTAGAATACACAACCAGACAGCTCCCTACCCCCAAGAGCCCCAAATCAGTTCAAACACCCTCTCTCTTACCGAATCAACCCAAGAACAAACAAATCCAAGTTTCTCAAGTCTCGGGACTGCAAGTGGCTCGCACAATGTTGTGTTGCACGAGGGATAGGTGGGCAGGGGAAGGGGTTTGTGCGCCTGATGGGGCGGGGGTTGTGGTACGTGTGGTACTGATGGGGAGGGTGGGAGGTTGAGGATTGAGAATTGAGGTATTTCGGTGTGGTGGGTACTTGGGGGAGGAATCGGGTGGTAATTGAACGCATGTGTGTCCTTTTCTTTTAAAGACTTTGTAAATGGAAATTGCGATACGTATATATTATAGTATAATCATCGGCCAGCTTCAAGCGGGGCCATCATGCCTACTAAAGATATATCACTGTTTGATCATCTTGATTGAATCAGATGGACTATACCAACATCTGCTAGAGGATATGATAAGGATTTTTTTCGCATGAAATAGCACCGAGGGTTCCTGAGCGTATAGTATGTGACAGTTTGGCGCAGGAACGGAAGAAGAAAATAACTTGAAAATACTATGCTGGATATATAGAATGAAATTTCAAGGGGAAAGGAGGGTGGGATTAGGAGAATAATCCTCGTTGGATGTAGATGCTGTATAGTTGGTTTTGCGCAGTGAAACATCATATCCCATACATGCTAGTTTCAACACTGCCCAAGTACAACACTAATAATGAATACATGCCCCTCAAAACTTTATACCTCGAAGGATACCCAGCCTATATACTTAGTTTCACGTCTAAAATACTGTACTACGCATATGGACCATTACATTCCCATCCATCGCGTTGTACATTGCCAACGACGAAAAGGATACGAAAGCACAGGAATGTTAGAATATTTGATGTTATCTTATTCGACAAGATAGGGTAGTTACAATAGAATAAGTTTCCGTGGCTAGTATGTAGATCTACATGTTTGGCGTAGAAGATAGTCGTGGTTGGTATCATACGAGCGAGAGCAAGAGCAATAGGGATGGTAGAGCAAAGCGGGCCAAGCTAAACCAGTAGTGGATATAGCATGGTGGTGTTTGAAATTAGGATTGGGGATGATGCGCTGCCATGAATGCTAGCGTCAATGTAGATTCCGAGGGAGAAGGGGAGCGAGGAGGATCAAATTGGGTGTTGCTAGGAGTATTGGTGATGGAGGTGGGACGAAAGAGACGAGTGCGTAGGAAAGTATGCTACACCGTTCGTCATTATAACCACTGATTTTAGGTTCTAGATTCGTTTTTGAGACGCGGCTTGTAGGGTATTATGATATATTGAATATGTGGTGTCGAGGTATTGCTCTGCGTCTTGGCTTTTTTTTGGCAGCAAAGGAGAAGCCAAAGGGAGAGGAATGAAAGATATGGAGGTAAGAGTGCAGGCGACCGGGAGATTGAGTAAACAAAATACCTATATCCAGTTCAAGTACCACGAGACTTGCATAGAAAGACTTTGTTTACGAGGATACCGCATCCACATTTTGTTCAGCCATAATGTGGCCTTAACTGCAACGGTATTAAGAGGGGAGATGGGGTATAACGGCGGTTGCCGTTGAACTGGAAGACTGGTCACATTATACGGACGAAGATGCCATCCTGCGGTGCTGTAAAGGAGGGAGGGTAGAGCGGCCCCATTGAAGCGTGAGAGACTAAGAGTGCAAGAACGTAGTAACTTGTTTCGGGGCGTTAATGAAGCCAGCGCACATATGATGAATTGCAATGTATAGGTGAAGCATGTTGATTAGATTACACTATGAATGTCTAGGTTGTCGGACTACAGCCGAATAGATAACTTTCACGATTGTCGAGTTAATTATGTATAGCGATTGGCCTTACTGATATGTCTGATAATACTTTGTTGTATTTCAAAATTTTCTCTAAAATCTCGATGTGAACGATCTGCAAAAAGAGCAACGAGATTCGACTTAGCGTAATCTGCTCATACCTTTAATTGGATTGAAGTTTACGACAACTTCGACACATTTAATTCAATGGTGTAAGCCTGATGTACAAAGGATATAGTTTGATTGTCAAATATGGTTGGCAGGGAAGGGTTTGCGTGACAAACATGAGCGCTCTTAAAATTCCCAACTTCTGGTTTACGGGTCATAGATGAAAACAAGAAAGTGCTAGTTAGGGGAAATTGGGCCCGCGAATTGAATAGGAAGAGAGAGGATTGATAGAAGCTCACTGATTCTATGCGGCGGTCAGCTTGGTCAAACAGCCTGTAAAGGCTCCCTGTAGAGGATCTATGTCAGCATCAGGGAGAAGAAAGCAGCTATTGATACAGAGGGTAGAGCTTCAATCTTCAAAGGCATGCACTGTGCCTGGCACACCGCTACATGACCTTTCATTGCAGTCAACATTTCATAGACCCGAGTACCTTGTCCTATCTTCTATTCCTCCAAGGTGCACCAAGTTTGTCATCGTATGTCTAGCTCTTGCTCTCTGACCACTGATCTGAAGTCCTTGGATCCATAATCTAAAAGCAGGTTCGTATACATGCTTACATATCCTTGACAGTGACAAGATACACATTAGTCCCAGCGCATCCCTCATCATCCAGTTTCGCTTCCCCTCAACGCTCCGCCGTCTACACAACAACGACTTCAAGTCTCCCATTCATTGTACCCATTTCCACATTTACATAGCCTATCGGAACCGCATAGATGAGGTCATCATACAGATAAACCGAGACGGCTACGTCGGGTATGCAGGGGTCGCGCGATGAAGTCGCCGCCTAGTTTCTCTCTTCCCTGGCCGAGATCGATGGGGAGAGCATGTAGAACAAGAATATGTGCGCCCAAGCGCAAATAATGTTTCATGTTGAACCCTGTACTGGTGGTTATAGTGCTCGTGGAGTTAGGATTTGAGAAATTGTATGTCGGAGGACAACCCAATTAAAGACTGACAATGGGAGTTATCTGATGCTGTAAATGTTTGTTTACTAATTTGATGAATTTGTTCAATTTGGGCTGAAAAGCTCATTGCGGTCAATGGGCGAGGCGTAGTATGCCGTGGTGTTGTCTAATGCAATGTAGACATGGGATGACTAAGCTCATGCATCGTCGTACTCCCGCCTTTTCATCCGCCTACGCCTACTCTGTACACCATTTGAGGGCCTTGGTTCTCTCCGTGAGGGAAGATCTCGCTAAACCAAGAGTGTGGAACCCGAGGTTGGCTACCACAAATACCCAGATTGTGTGCGCATCTGATTCAGTCTCGTATCGATCCAATACAGTCACCCAGGCAACTCTCTCCTCCAACCCCCCTCCGCCTCGAACACCCTTCCAACCTCCTTCGCAACACTCAGAAGATATTGATCCCTGAATCTTGAAGTCACTAGACTTACACCCACGGGCATCCCACTTTCCCCTTTGAAACCCGGGACATTGACAACAGGCATGTGCATTGCAGTCCAGGGCGCACAAATCGCCGCCTCGCCTGTCGTTTCCAACCCAACAGGCGCCTCATCTACCACACTCGGCGCCAGTATCGCCGCATATTGATCTGCCAGGGCGTCAAATCGCGGCCGCATAGCAGCAAGCTCATCCAAAGCAGCGAGCTGCGCTTTTCGCGTGTGACCGGCATGATTTTCAACGTGGGAAATCAACAAAGGATCTAGAGAGGATTTTGATGTGGTGTATTCTGGGAGAAAGGCTGTGCGACCGTCGGCGCTGAGAACGAGCATGTGGTGTGTGTACATTTTGTGGAACATGAAGGGAAGGGGGATCTCTTCGACATTTGCGCCATGGGCGCGTAAGAGTTCTGCAGACTTTTTGAGCGCGGCTACGGTGCCGGGACCCATTTCTGGCCACGCGGGTGTGGGGAAGGTAAGGAGTGCAAATTTGGAACCAGCGATGCTGAAGGGTTGAATGGGGTTGTCGTCGATTACCTGAAAAGCGTCGAGGAGGAGTTTAAGGTCGTCAATGCTGCGTGCGTACAGGCCTAGTGTGTCCAAGATCAAAGAGTAAAGTTTCTGGCCCTCGCGCGTTATGGCATTCCAGGTTGGCTTCATGGCATATATTCCATTAAAGGAACCAGGTCGTATTGTACTTCCCACAGTTTGTGTTCCCAGGCCAATTGGTACCTGTAGGTCGCCGACTGCTGCGCCTGAGCCTGAAGAAGAACCACCGGGTGTGCGCTTGGGGCCGTGTGGGTTCGTGGTCTTTGGTCCTTTGTAAGAAGGGCCAACTGTCGTCGCCGCGAATTCGGTGGTTGTTGTTTTGCCTGGCTTACGTCAGTATCATAGTCGACTTGTGATGTTGTACTTCAGTACCGAATATCAAGGCTCCGTTCGACCGCAGAATGGCTATGCTACCAGCATCAACCCTGGGCGTATCACCCTCGTATATGATGGAATTGTATTGAGTCGGCATATCTTTAGTATAAATTACATCCTTGACTCCAATTGCGACTCCATGGAGGGGTCCTCGCTTCTGCGGCACTGTCTGGTCGAGCTCGCGTGCACGTCGGAGTACAAGATCAGGGTTAAGGTAGGCCCAGGCATTAACGGTAGAGTCGCGCGTCTGAATTCGCGACAAAATGGACTTCGCGTATTCTTCAACAGTCAAAGAGCCGTCTTTGAACTTAGCCTGCGCTTGTGATGCTGTCAGATGATACGGTTGGGTCATGGTTGCGGTAGTTCAGGGACCTGGGGTGGACATCAATAGTCCTTGAGATAATAAAGACAATACTGCCAACGAATTGGGTGGTATAGAGCACCATGGCGATGATGGAGTTGTATGATCTTCTTGGCTACATGTTTTGCTGGATTGGCATGTCGATCATGTCGGCTGGCTGGGCGTTGAACGCGGGCGGAATGAGCCGAACCGATGCCGGCGGGAAAGACACCGACGTCTTCTTTCACCCTCAGTCAATTGGTATCCTTAATCCATCACCACTGGTATCATCAACACATTGAGTATCCCACGGGTGATTTGCCAACTCTATTATACTTGGTTTGTGCTCATGTTTTCCCGTTGAGACACCCAACTTCACAATCTGTCACATTCTTCTTTCTATGCTCGTCCCAATGCCATCTCGCCTAAAACTCATCATGCCCAGATTCATACCAAAAGGATCAAGCAGCTAAATATGGCTATACCATTTCATGCATTTACAATCAAGTGTGGATCTCAAGGCTGTATCTGGGACCTGATAAGCTCACAACACACGCCGGGGAGCCTGTTGAGGAGGCGGACAAGGACTTCGACGTTATCGTGTGATCTAGTGGCAATAATGGTTGTAAGTCTGCTTGCGAGTATGTGTTTAAAATCTGGTGCTCAGAGCCGGGATCACGAGGTTATTTTGTCCAGTGCAGTGTTCATCAGACAACCACATGATTCGCTATATTCACGAGCTGGCCTAATCAGAAGCTACTGCCCATAAACTATAGCAAGAGAACAGAAAAATTGGAAGAGGAGAAGATGGACACTGCCGTGCTCGACGATTAGGCTACTTTATATAGCCGATAGTTCATCACGCAGTATACAGTTGGTGAACCAGCGCAACGCCCCTCCCCATGACCAACCTAATCTCCTCTCACCCGCCCATAGTACTACGGAGGAACCCAACCACGCGCTATTTGCGCTGAAACAGCTTCCTCCACCGATTCTCCTTCTTCACCATCTTCCACACGAACTGCGAGGGTTCGTCATCTTCCCGGACGTTGACCCTCCCATCTCTACCGGCCCAGGACGCCTCCCACCCCTCCCTTCTCAACAGCCTCTGCTCCACAGCTGGCATCCAGCGCCCTTTCAGGCAGTTTTCTGGATACGTATCACGGGGAAGCTCCCCCCAAGGCAAAGGCGATTCGTCGTGGAACTGCTTCAATGTGAAAATGACCTTGCGGATATTGCAGACCGTGTCTGCAAGAGGCGCTGTCAAACGTGCACGAGCGCACCATACGTTGGTATCCGTTTGATGGTTATCATTGCAAAGCTGGGGGGCCAGCAGGCAGTTGATGGCTGCCACAAAACCGACGATGCTATCGTAGGTGGTGTGTACGTCGTAGTGAGCGTCTGCATCGGAGACGAGGAGGTTATTCAGGGCGTTTCTGTCTTCGTTCCAGACCCAGAGTTCAGTGCCGCTGAGTACCGCGCTCATGAGGGCGAAGTCACTCGGGGAAGAGATGCCTTTCAAGGCAATGGTGAGGCTACTGAGATGTAGCTTCATCAACGGCGAGGCGATCTCGATGAAGTTGTAGTCCAATTTGGTGCTATACAGCGACCATAGCGGGACGTCGAGAGAAACGTGCATGAGGGAGGTAAAGCTGTGGGGCTGGAGGGGACGGAGAAGTGTGACCGTTGTTGTTGGCGTCAAGTAAATGCCGTCGAGAACGGTGAGCGCGCCTCTGAGCGTCTCGTGTGTCAGCTCGCCGTTGATCTTCTTGCAGCAAAGGAAGAGGCCCATGTAGTGCTGGTACGGGGTATATGGGAGGAAGCCTTGCGGGGCGATGTAACGGTAGATGAAAATACGGATTTCGGCAGGCGCATTGAGGATATGGCATGCGTTGTCAGGGCGGCGCAGGCGGCGCAGAAGCTTTTTGTGCCAAATTTGTGAAGACATTGCTCGGGGTTGTACTGACGGAAATCGTGTGGGTTGTGAAAAGGTAGAGTGGACGTATTGTGTTGGACCGCGCTGAGGATCGTCAGACAAAAGAGTTCAAGTGAGTATACATGTCGCCGAAGTAGTGCGGGGAGATACTGATTCATTTTGTATTCGACGGTGCTTGCGTCAGGCTGCCCTTCACTTTCGCTCGCAAATTGGCTCCCAGGGACCGGCGGTTGCACTTCAAGTATTCAGTCCCTGTCCGCTGCGCAGGCGACCTCAGTTCATTTTCTTTCGAATTCACTTGATCTTTTCTACTTTCTGAGTGGAGATATCTTCCGCAGTGGCACTGTGCAAAGCCAAGACTATATTTTTACTTGTGTATGTACAACAACCGCCGTTTGTAACGTCTCTTGGACCACCGGTCCGGTCCATAACAAGTTAATAACTATCAAGCTCTTACCTATACCACAAAATTTACTACTATATGCTCTCAAGCACTTCCTTCACGCGTAACTTTCTATCGAACTAAATGCTGTTTGAGTGAACGTGACAACAACAACGGGGAATCGGGGACTCTGGATTTGTGCATACAACTCAAGGAAGGAGCAGTAGCGAAGACACCGAAAGTTCTCCAGACCTGTTACCTCGTATAAACGCTTCATGGAGTGTTGGTCTGCGTCTTGCATTATAAAGCGGTCAAGTCACTAGTGCGTAACCCAAGCAAATCCAAGCGAAATCCTTCAGTGTGTTGATTTCAAGCAATCTAGACTTGGACAACCGTGTAGAAAACCTTCTTTCTAGCTATAGAGCCGCATACGAGCTTTGCGCGGAGCCGCTTGTATAAGCAGCCGGGCATTCATAGTTTTCAACTGGCAACAAAAGGCAGACGTTGTTTTGACTATATCAGAGCGTTCTGCTTCACGAAGGAGACAGAAATGCAAGCTCTATTGTAATTGATCTAAGGAAAGAGCAAGTATTGAAAAGAGCTTATCGTGCTGTAGACAAACTATTATGTCCCAATCCTTCGACGATATTGTTTCACTGGCTGTTGTCCGCTAACCGGCATCTATAATGCACGAGTCTCGATAGATCATGTATAACAGCGTCACATCATTGTAAATCATTGTGGTTATAGCAATGTAGAGCGTCCACGGTTGATGAGGATGTGATTGGCAGAAATGCCAGTCGGTGAGGCTGTCTTTCCTATTTAGCGTGACGCTATGATGAAGCGCGTCGTCACGTGACTCTACAATGCTCCGCGCTAGTTACGCGAGAGGTGAATGTTTTCATGGTTTTCCCATGACACCTCCTAAGTTCGCACTCCCCCAACCACCCCACCTCCTCGGCCGAACACTCAACACCACGCCTAACTCCATCAAATTTCATCAACATCCATACATCCCAGTCTCATCTTGCAGCTTCTGGAAGCACCAAAGGGGTCTGCATTGTACCAGGGTGTCAGAAGCATTGCGCTTGGGCAAGGATGTCACCTGCCCCGATCGTCCAGGGCGCAATGACCGCCACCAACTCAGCCTCGACCTCACCTACGCCTTCACAAAAGCAGAACTGTGGGTTGCGAACGCAATACTTGAATGATATATATCAAATCTAATAATGTCAACAGCAGCCAGTCCAACCCAGTTCGATGACATCTTTCACAACAAGTTCATGAAGATCATCGAGGATTGGAAGAATGATCCGGCTAGAGGCCAATTGACTCAGCGTGATCGCAAGGTGTTCATCGAGACCGCCTTCTCGGAGACCGATGATATCTACTTTGGAAATCGGTCATTGTCCGACCAAGAGATCAAGCTGCGGGCCCTGACTAAAGTCTTCTACAAGGTTCTAGCTGAGGAGCCTTGGTCTGAGGACTGGATTCGTGCTCCTGATGTCGAGCGTAAGCTCAGCAAATTCGAGATGCACAAGGACTCTGTTGCTCGTGCTGCCGAGCACAACCTTCGCACTCCACGTGAAGCTGTAAAGGCCGCGCGCGAGGCCGAGCTCAAAGCCAAAGAAACTCTTAAAGAGGCTATCAAGGCGGGCAAGAAGGAGAAGGATGTCAAGATTCCCCGTGGACCGTATGACGATATCGAGATCATCTACATTGCCGGTACCGTGTCTTCGACTGCTACCAATAAGATTGATCGTGACAATATCTACCCCGTCTCTGTCAGCTCCGTCGCGAACGTCTTGCAGAACCACATATGTCGGGACATGGTTCGCCCATTTTCCATGGCCGAGCGCTTCATCAACTGCACCGACACTCGCGAGCTTGATGAGATGCGCCAATTCGCCTGCAATGTCTGCGACTTTGCTCCTCATCTCCTCGACAACGATAACGTCAGTCTCCTTGTCGTCCTTCTCATTCTTTCTCGCTCGGACTGTTGCCGTAGGTTTCAAAACAACGGTATCCGCATCGAGGGCTCCACCATCAGCCACCGCAAGGCCGAGTGCATGAAAAACAAAATGGGTTGGCGCTCCTCCGAGGAAAAGAAGCCTTATGACACTTTCGCGATTGAGTTTCAGACTCGTGTCAAGAACGCTTGCTTTCCCGCCCCTCGCGCTCAAGGTCTTCGTGGCCGCAAACCGCCTCGCAAGTCATCCACTCCCGCCACACCCACCCATCCCATATACGGTCCGCCGCTCATGGGCTACGTCGCTCCTCCCCAAGTTCGCCCCGAAGGCGTCAACACGGCAATCAACATCCCAGCTCCCGCTGTACAGAGCATCTACAGCCCCGGCTCCAGTTCTCGTGGCGTCAAGCGAAACCACCCCTCCACAGATGAAGGCGACAGCAGCACCGAGCCCATGGACCTTTCCTAGTATCTTCATACCATTCTGGAGTTCAACTCTTCTCGCCTCCTTGGTCCGGGTACAGGCTAGACGAACAGAGCTATTTCTCTTCTGCAGTATGCCTCATCATTCTCTGTCCCTAAGAGACACACTTCTGTCCTGTTCCACTGCATTTGTTCACGGCGTTTTGACTGATGGAGTCACCTTGACTTGCATATGGTACCTACAGCCTTATAGGCAACCAAAAGGTGCTCGGTGCCTGGCGTTTTGCATCACGTGTACCGATTCGGTATGGTAGCAACAACATGTCTCAAGGCCTAGGCCGCCATGAACTCATATTACGAATGCATAGCGAAAGCAGACACCACTTTATTCGCGGTTCCAATTCGAGTTGGCATAGGTTCATAGTTGGCCAATCACATTAAATTACAGAATTACTGAGCCCGAAGCCCCATGGGACGATTGTGCAACGTATTTTCGTGAATGAAGGGGCACGTGTGCGGGGTTTCGCTTGTTTCACCTGAGAATGCTTGGATCGTGCGGTATGTCCTATACGCAACGATCGTCTGGCCGTACTCGCGGGTTCCCATGAAACGCCCTCTGATACCATCTGTTCACTGTGAGAGCGCTAGAGCACTTGGAAAGACATCATACTGTGTAAGAGCGCACCTACCTCCGTAAATCTACTGCATTGCAATGTCGTAATATCCACAACCAGTCGTTGAAAAGTCTCATGACTGCTGTTGCTCAAGGTAGTTATGTTGAAATGAATCTCTCGTGTAGTAACTTATTTCTTCGTATTCCCGCTCCTTTCATAGCTCCTGAAAGTCCACCAAATGATCCACTTTGTACAATATCCACAAGGCAAACTTCTTCTGTTCTGCAGGGCCGAGAGTTAGGTATGCCGACCGATTCGTTTCTCCAGGCTTGGTCTCGAGTGTAATTATATCGTAAGGGTTAGACATGCCTAGAATCATGTGTGTCATGAGTATGTGATGTGAAACATTACCCAAGTTCTGTCCTGCACCCCAACCCTCATACCGTCATACCTTCATGCTTCTGTAATTCTCTGTCCGCCTCTTTCGAACGAAACTTGGTGCTACAACCGTCCAGCGAATCTTCGTAGATAAGATGTATGCTAAGGTATTTACCCATGCGCTGGGGAAACTTATGGGCTGATTCGTGGAGTCTATGGACATGAATATTGAGGGTATCTTATGTTACTCTTAGGTTCCCTTGGGGGAGGGTTCTGGATTTCAAAACGCAAGATGGTAATATTAGGTGTGCTTGACCGTTGGAGAGCAAGAAAATCTCCAGCGATTCGTGTTCGATTATGTCTTTAGCCAATTAGGTTGCTTGTACTTCCCTCCCGACATGCTGGGTCGTGATACTTCATGTCTTTGTCATATTGCCTATGACTATACAGTATCTGCTGGAAGACACAGTGGAAGGCGATTACGAGCCCCTAGACTTGCGAGATGCCGTTATGGATGAGTTCAGACTCCATATTCTTGATTGCCGGCAGTCTCACAGCTCGCTCAAAAGCAATGTGTCTCGCTGGCCTGCTGGACACAAAGAGAGAAGAGGCAAATAGATGTAGTGATATCTGTATCATGGTGGAAAGTACATTGTCAGCCCAGTGCGAGTGGCTCGAGGAAATAAAACGGTGAGGAATGTTTGCTCGTGGAAGACAAAGTCTCACTTGAGAGAGGGTTACTGGGAGGGGAAGAGCTTATAACAAAAACGTTGACTCGCCTCAATTTGAACTGGCACATAATCGAGGGCATTCTCTCGTCCATGTCCACCGCTGCTGCTGCTGAGGATCCCGCTAGCTCGGACGGCCTGCTCCAACTGTTCGGCCGTGCCCTTCACCTTGTTTTGCAAACGACCGAGCTTCCACGGCCATCTAAAGCGCCAAGCAAATGAGACATATAGACGGGCACCCCGTACATTCTTGAAATCTTGTCAACCACTTCGGAGCCAGTACACTCATACTACATACACAAATCTTCTACCAAGCAATTCTTCACTGTTTCTCCTAAGATACTTGCAGCCCACCGCTCACCACATCATCAACATGTCCTCTACTGCCATCGACCGCAGCGAAGCCCAGGCCGCCGTCCTTGCGAGTGGCGCGAACCCCTTTGAGTACGAGTGGGGTAATGCTCACTTCACGGCTATTGACCCAGCCGAGCTCCTCAAGACCCGTGAGTTCACTCAGGACGAGAAGAACTTCCTCATTGAGAGGCAGGACTTGATCACAGGGTTCAAGTTCGACAAGCCTGCTACTTACCTAGAGCGATACATGCTCTATGTGGCGGTCCTCGGCATGCACAACGCCATGAGCGACGAGATGGACAAGTGGACGGGGGAGATGGAGGATTTGGAGAAGAAGGGGAGGTGGGAGTTGATCCTGCAGCACAGGGCAGGTGAGATTGAGAAAGAGCTGGAGGAGGCCAAGAAGCAGATTGAGCTGGCGAAGAAGCAGTTGGATGTGGCCAAGGGGGTCATCTACGCTCTCAAGAGCAAGAAGGACGACAAGTCAGAGGAGAGGGGCAAGCCAGAGAAGAAGGGCAAGGCAGAGGAGAAGGGCAAGGCAGAGGAGAAGGGCAAGGCAGAGGAGAAGGGCAAGGCAGAGGAGAAGGGCAAGGCAGAGGAGAAGGGCAAGGCAGAGGAGAAGGGCAAGGCAGAGGAGAAGGGCAAGGCAGAGGAGAAGGGCAATGGGGGTGCCGCAGCCGCTTAGGTTACCGGTATGGTAGCTTCCTGGTGATTCGCAATGACTGTATAGATATCGAGATACCCACTGATGGTGGCATGAATGCCATATGATTCCAATTCACATAGATACCTCACCTGCTTGTTCTTTGATCCCCACCTCGTTACTACAGGTACTCGTTCCACATGTTCACACATGAAAGTGGCAGTGTGTCTCGTGCGGGCGCACTTACTATCAGCAGGTCATTGAACCTAATACCTGGTCATTTCTCCCAGTAAGGATATAGAAATCGACTCAGGGTTATCTCAGTACCTGGATTAGAGTTTATTCTCCTAGACAATCATTGGTTAAGCTTCTTCTCCCATGCGAGGACGCTAACGTACCACGGGTAGGTACCTAGAAAGAGAGAGCGACCGAGACCAACCCCTGCATGAATTTCAATCATCGCGTCTCTCTGACAATTGCGACATCACGACAACATGGCGCCAGTCCCTATGCCCTCAGCCCTGGGATTCGAATTGCTAGGAAAATGCTCGGTCAGTTTGTTTCGGTGAGCAATGATTATTGTAACGCGACTTATATAGTAGAAAGGTCACAAAAGCACGCGCTGCCACTCTCCATCTGCCCCATGGCCCCGTACCCCTCCCCATCTTCATGCCCGTAGCCACACAGGCATCTCTCAAGGGCCTCACACCTGAGCAATTGGAAGACCAGGGTTGTCGCCTATGTCTCAACAACACGTATCATCTGTATGATCAGCGCCAACACCGAAATCTGGCTCGGTATGCGCTTACTGACTGTTGGGAGAGGTCTCAAACCAGGACAAGCCACCCTCGACGCGATAGGCGGCGCACATAAATTCCAGTCATGGCCACACAACATTCTCACAGGTGCCTCTTTCGTCGCAACATGAGGCAGGAATCAAGGGCTGACTGAGACGTAGATAGTGGTGGGTGGGTGACGCCTCTAACCTCGTGCATAGCCAACCTCTTGCTGACACCAGAATGTCCAGCTTCCAAATGGTTTCGCTACTGAAACTTGCCAAAGTCACAGAAGAAGGTGTGCGCTTTCTCAGTCCTCACGATGGCTCGCCCATGCTACTCACGCCCGAACATTCAATATCTCTCCAGAACTCCATTGGCTCCGATATCATCATGCAACTCGACGACGTGATTGCGACTACCTCACCAGACCATGCGCGCATGAAGGAGGCCATGGAGCGATCAGTTCGCTGGCTTGATCGTTGCATCCAGGCGCACATGTACCCTGAACGACAAAACCTCTTCTGTATTATACAAGGCGGGCTCGATCTAGAAATGCGCAGGGAGTGCACCGCGGAAATGGTGGCGCGAGACACACCCGGCATTGCCATTGGCGGTCTTTCTGGCGGCGAAGAAAAAGAGTCGTACTGTGAAGTCGTCAAGACTTGTACAAGTCTGTTGCCAGAGAAGAAGCCTCGTTATGTCATGGGCGTTGTACGTTACACCACCCACCTTGTATCTACGTTTTGTACTAACCTCCACAGGGCTACCCAGAGGATCTAGTCGTATCCGTCGCTCTCGGCGCAGACATGTTTGACTGTGTCTGGCCTACCAGAACAGCTGTAAGCCCCAACCCGCCCAATATGCCCCAAACCTTTCGCATCCTAACCCCACCCAGCGCTTTGGCAACGCCATAACAGCCAAAGGCATGCTCAACCTGCGCAACGCAGTCCACTCTGAAGACTTCAGGCCCATCGAGCCAGGCTGCCAATGTACCTGCTGCCGGCCCACTGCAGACGGCGGTCTAGGAATCACACGGGCATATGTATATCACGTTACTGCCAAGGAAACAGCGGGAGCGCATCTCCTGACTATGCACAATGTGCACTATCAACTCAACCTCATGCGCTTGATTCGCGAAGCTATTGTGGAAGATCGGTATCCGGGGTTTATAAAGGGCTTCTTTGGGAGGTTGTATGACGGTGACAAGACGAGGTATCCTGGGTGGGCTGTTGGTGCCTTGAGGGGGGTCGGAGTGGATTTGATGGATGGCTGAAGACGTGGATGGGAAGATGGATGTGGACGTGGTAATATGAAGTCATGTCTAGATTGGTTTGTGGATATGCTTGATGATTGGGATATGAGTATGTGAACTGGAATCTTTGTCGAGTTTGCTGGAGTTATCAGCAATACTTGATGGTTTTGCACAGTATTGCATGTGTCTTACTTCCCCCACTTGATTATCGTTTGTCACGAAATGATGATTGGTCATATTCGACTCGATACGCCCTTCTCACGTCCAAGGCTCTCCTGTAAGCTTCATGCCAGCACGTCTAGCAAGAGCCTGTTTGTTTCAACCAACTACCATGGAGAATCCTTTTTTGTAAGTCGTAGCGCCGCTGATTACGCCCACTCAGATAGCAGAGATGAGAAGTGTGCGAAAGAATAGCAATACATAAATATAGCCCAATCGACCAAAATACTTTTCTCCCCAAAGCACAGCCCACCCACATGATTACACGTATTCACACAACACCACAACTACCGCACTGCCCACCAACACATCTACCACCTACCACGCAACCCCCAAAACATGGGCCACCCCAGCCTCAATGCCACCAAAAAAAAACCCCCCACTCCACCCTCCAAAAAGAAAAGCGGCTTTTAGGAATCAGGCGTGCCGTGCCCCGTCCACACAATGAGATGATTCCAATGTCCGTTGACGGCAGGGCCTGACTCCCATGTTGGTATGTAGTACTACGGTACCTAACTTCGGAAGGTGAGGGTTGCTTGTTTGCTGGCTCCGCGATGAGCAAAAGGTTGTGCGTTGGTGGGTGTAGGTAGACGGTGCGATGACTGTGAGGTTTGGGTTTGCAGGTAAATGCGAGGCGCGCGGGAAGTTACCTGTTGGTTAGTGGGAAAAAGTTTAGTGTATTTTCTTTTTGCTGGGCCGGTGAGTTGAAATGCCATGTTGAGGGCTTGTTGGGAGAGAGCATGGTAGGTACCGGTATGTCACAAGCCACGGACGAGAAGTGTGGCTGCTGATGGTTGTGGCGGTGCTTGAGCCAATCCCGGCACGGTACCGGCGGTCCATTGCGCGTTGCGGTTACGACCTCATTGGGCCGCAGTGGAATAAAGAGCGGCGACGATTTGTTGGAAAGATCCGACGCGTGCGCCAAGCAGGCCATTTCCATTTTCCCTCCCCATGTTCGTGTGTTGCTTGCTTTTCAAAAGCTTGTGGCGTGCGGCTGATGGGGAAAAACTGGGAAAACGAGCATTATTGGGTTCAGCTGCGATGAATGGAGATTGAATGAATGAATGAATGAACGAATGGTAAAGGGGAGCCTTCAGCCCTGGCCCCATTGTGGTAACTTTGAGCGTGTGCGTGCGCCGGCGAGGGATTGATGTGGTACCGGTAAGAGGAGTATTTTCTGGTGGTGAGCGAGGGGGTCAGCCATTCGGCATTCGGGCTTCCAGATGTAGGTAGGCTGGCGTTGGAGCGGGAGCTGGACCTAAAGGCGACGGTTTTTCAAGGTTGTCTGCAGAATGCAAGTGCAAGGTCTGGAAGTGGGACATGCGGTAGAGTACGAGGAGACGCTGACAAACATGTCTGGCTATCCAAACCTCCATTCGACTGCTGTTGTTTTTTCCGACTTCGGATGGACTCTAGGCAACAAGGCACTGCTGTACCGTACCTACTGTAGGCAGACCAGCTGTGGCTGTTCCCAAGGCTCACTATCGCCACTTGTTGTTCAGTCTGGTCGCACAGTCTATGGAAGGGCTTCCATGGGATGAGGGGCTATATTGGTTGTATGGTAGCAAACAAGGTGCAATATACATGAAATACTGAGATTTCGCAATGGGCGCTGCACGAGGGCAGTCTGCGAACGATGCGGCCCTGCTGTTCGCATGGCACATGCATCGGCGGGCCTCTACCGTACCGTACATACCTAGTGCCCGTAGCCCCACCAGCCAATCCAGCTTGCCATGACATATGTACTAGTATAGGTACACTAAACACTGGCGGGCTGACTTCCCTCCGTCCATTCCCTCATCCACCACCAAGACTCAAGTGCAATCATCTTTGGGCATTGGGCGCCGATTAGCAAATCCTAGGCCTTTGGTGCCTGGCATGACCTTCTCCTGCCTGGCGACTGCTGTCAGTGAGGGGGGGGGGGAGGGAGGGGAGATGACTACATTGCATAGCCTCCACCACCCACATACCTGCCTACCTACTGTGTACCTTCAATCGCCAGTTGGGGGCCGGCCGGCTTCAACTTCTCTCCCATCGATACCTATCGTCAGCAAAGACAGGCAAGCCTCTTTCTTCACATGATCACCACCACCACCACCACCAGCCTTTGCGGGCAAAGTTGCGACAGACGCCAGGGCTTGGACAAGAAAGACGGACGGCTAAGGGAGGGTGAGGGTGTGTGGGCCTGAGCGCCGGCTGCTCCTGATTGCTGCCCATCGAGTCGTCTGCCCAGGTGTGAAACATGGTTGCGCGCGCGCCGCGGACGAAGCCGACTGCCATCAACATCCGGTAACGTTACATACTGTTTGATTTCCATTTTTGATTTTATTTTTGATTTCCTCGTCTTCCCTGGCAGGAAAACACTCTACCTGCGTGCCGATATGGGAACTTGTATGCCCCATCCTCTCTAAAGAGGTCAGGACACCGGTCGTTTGCAGGGGTCTGCTCACGACACACCCACGGCCGGGGCCTGGCACACCTTCCGCCCTTTGCCCTTTGCAGGCTGTGCAATTCACCGCCGCCCAGCCATACACCGTCAAACAAATGGACCCCAATGCGCCCGGAGCATGTTCATGCACCCCTGTGCTGCCTATGACTGCGGCCTGGCATTGGGTGTCTTGCCCTGCGCACTGTTCTGCTCTTCATTACCAAATTCCTTACGCGTCAACCCTCATTGCGCGCTTTTTCCAGGCTCCCATCTGCGCCGCATTTCACTTAAAACCTCTCTTTCGCCCAGTAGGGCTACCGGCTGCCTCTGAAACCTGCACTGTCCCTGCAACCCGACCTGTGCCCATCTTCTCCTTCTCTTTACTTATCTACCAAATACACCCTCGCCACTCGACATCTTGGACGTCTTTTTTTTTCCCTTGAATATCTACCATAACATTATCGCCCCTCCCGTACACGCCTTTTTGATTGACGCGGCGACGACGACGATCAACGACGACTATTTGTAACTTGTCTCAGTTGGGCCCGTCACCTGCTCCTCAAAATATCTTCGCTGCCCATCCCCGCCAGCCCGCAACAAATACATACCCTTACCCCACAGTTCCCAGTCGTACCCGTCCTTGAGCTACCCATCGCCCTCCAATCTTCATCCTATTGGAAGCTGTGAAGGAAGTTGGTCGAAGAGTCACCATCATCCCCTTTTCATCAACAACAATTCGCCGAAGCTGACCAAAAGGACGCGACACCGAGACTGGCTTACCTCATCTGATAACCAAGCCCCTGTCTTGTGGGTGTAGGCGACGACACATTCCACCACACCTTCGCGGTAGCCACGTCCAATTGTCCCGACTCGTCAACACATCGTCGTCACCATGTGTCGGGTTGAAGAGCGTGTGTACATTGGTGCCGAGGGTCACCGTTCCATTTTTGAGGAGCGCTTCCCGTGTGACAAGTCGCGGAATGGAAAGTTTTGCTCTAGGGTAAAGAAGAAGACATTGGAATACCACACCAAGAGTGGGTCCGTCTCTCGCGACAATACACCGTCGCCGGGAAATCCGCCTACTCCTACTGGCACCGGCGCATACGTGGTACAGCAACGAAGACCCTCTAGCAGCGGTGGACGTCCCTTTACTCGTGACGGCCACAAGCCAATCGCACCGGAAATCACCATCAACTTCAATTCCAAAAAGGACAATGGAAAGAGAAACTCCGGCGTGACAGTATCAACCAAGCCCCACAAGCGTTCATCGCTCATGACCAGCCCCATCGACACGAGTGATTTGATTGATGATTTTCCGGGCTCGGATGGCTCGCACACGATCCGAACTGGGTTTCCGGATGCTCCCTTACCTACCCCAACTGCATTTGGACATCCCGATAGCTTCATGACTTCTCCTTCTCATGGCTATCACAATTGCCAGACGTCTTCGACTTCTTCCTTCAATGCCCCAAGCTCAACACCCTCGCTCTATGTTACTTCTGATCCCGACTACGAGTCGCCCGACACTCGTCGCGGTGCAAGGCCAGCGCCAACAATCATCCAGCATCAGACCTCTGCTACGCCTACCTCCTCGGCACCACGTCCGTCCGCCATGAAACCCTCTGTTCCTTATCGTACTGCACTTGTGGCTCCACGGACCTCGGCTCACGATGGAGACGCATCTGATCTGTTTCCCCTTGATTATGGCGATCTAGCCGATCGTTCGGCATCTTCTCATGCTAGTTCCGTCGCACCCGAGAATACGCGCAAGGGCAAAGATCGGGATGAGAGACGTAGAAAACAAGAGGAGGAACGGAGACGAGAAGAGGAGCGGATTCGGCGGGCCGCTGAAGAAGCTGCGAGGGAAAACGCCAAGCAGGTTCGGTTCGAGCTTGATCGTCCAGCCGCGAGAGAGCGCGAGAGGGCGGAAAAGATGTTTGCTGAAAAGGAGGTGGATCGAGCTCTGGCGAGAGAAGAGGCTCGTCGCCAGGACGAAGAGGCTCGACGACGGGAGCGAAAGGAGCGCGAGAAGAAGGAGCGTGAGGAGGAGGAAACCAAGCAGCGCAAGAAGAAAGAACGGGAAGAGGAGGAGGTCAAGCAACGCAAAAAGGAGAAGCGTTCATCGGCCATCAAGCAAGACGACAAGTCTACCACACGGACGCGAAGGTCAACAATGACTCAGGATCAAATTGCAGAGCAGCGTCATCTCCTCGCTGCGGAGCAACGTCGTATGGAAGACGAGAAGCAGGTTGCCATGGCCCGTGAACGGGAGGAGCAGAACGCCCTCCTTCGTCAGCAACAAGACACTCGCGAGTACTTTGATCCTCGCGGTGGTAACCGGTCGCTTGATCGTCGCGCGTCCATCTCCCGACAGCCCCCACCTATGCCTGCCTCTGGTCTGGTCAGATCTGGTAGCCATCGCCACACCAGCGTTCATCAAAGCAACCCACCTGTCATCGCCAACCCGGTCCTGCCAGACTACTCCACTCGCCCTTCCAATGTGCGCCAAAAGACTGGTCCTCCAGTCTCCTTCCCTTCCAACTTCAACCAGAATCAAGGGTACGAACGTCCTCCTTCTACACGCCGGCCGTCGTACTCCCAAGAAGCCCTTCCCTCTGCACGAGTCCGGCGCGACTCTGGTGCAGCTACCGGTAACCCTTTTGTCCAGGATTCTTCTGTGCTGTCGCCCTCACACGCTTCAGCCGATCCTTGGGACCTGCGTACTGTACAGTCTGCACTCCCCAACTGTCGCCCGGCCCGTGAAGCCCGCTCCAATACAATCCAGCAGCGTGGTCAGGAAGTCATCAATCGCTCTGTTAGCCAGGCGCAACAGGCTACGCGCGCCATGTACCAGGATGTCAACGTCTTTGATGATGACTCAGAAGATGAATTTGGAGCGTACGCGGGCCGACTGAGACGGAAGCACTAGGTTACGGCAGGGGTGGTGGAGTGGTAGACTTGCGGTGCCCTCTTGCTTTGCTTTATTTGGTTCTCACTGCTTGGCATTTGGCGTTTTCCTTTTTCTGTCGACTGTGTGTTTTTGTTTTCCTGTACATCCTTTGTTGATACCCCCAGCACTTTGTCGTCATACCCCTCCTTCACCCACCCACCCCGCTATAGACCATGTTTTTTTTTCAGCATCTCTTAGAAATACCCCTGCTTGTACGAATCCCCCCCTTGTACCACAAATCAAAAGTATGCTTATGACTCATTATACTTGTCACTCCCTTGTCCCACATGCAGGTTTCTACCCCCTTCATCCTCCTTCCCCCTGCTGGACTGGGACGTCACGGGCACAGCAAAATTTCTTTTGAGCTGGTGGACGAATTATACTGATGTGACCTGACATCGATGATCGTATTCACTGTGTGTGTGTGCCATGACAAGCTAGAGCACTACACACTAGTACTACCTACAGTGTATGCTCAATCCCACAATACAATCACCACATTCCATATTCCGAATCGAAAAAAAAAACTCTACAATTCCAATACTCCCTCTATTCCAAACCCATTTCCTTGCCACCTCACCCACAAATTCTCCACTCCCACCCCCCTCCTCCCTAACACCCCTCCCTCCCCGCCCTCCACGCCCGCAAAACCCTCCACTCATCCCCCGTCAACCGATCCACCTCCACTTCCTCCGCTTCCTCCACCTCCTTCTTCTTCGCCGCCACCGCCCTCGCCCTATTCGCCGCGGCTCTGGCCCGCTTGCCCAACCGCACGGCGTCGGGATCTACGAGCGCGGCGCGCCGGGGCGCTTTGCTTGATGCGGATTTTATGCTGAGAGGGCGGGTGGGGGTGAGTTTTTTGCTGGGGCGGGGGCGGGGGCGAGGGGGGGGTTCGGGGTCCGAGCTGTCTGTTGTTGTGGTTGCGTCGGCGGCGGCGTGGGTGGTGTCGTATTCTGTGTCGGTGTCGGTGTCGGGGTGGTGGTGGAAGTCGTCGTCGTCGTCATTGTCATTGTTGTTGTCGTTGGTATGGTGGATGACGGTGGCTTTTCTCCGGGAGTAGGTGGGCTGAGTGTTGATTCCACTGGCAGTTTGTTTCTTGCCTTTTGCTGACGTCTTGCCTTGTCCATGCTTTCTCTCGTCTGCCGTCTTCTTCAAACTTTTACGCATATTCGCTGCCGTGACGCCAGCACAGGGATGCTCGTCTTCGACATCGCTGTCTCCCTCGTCATCTGTGATCCATTCGTCCTTTTCTCCGCGCTCTGCCATCTTCAACTCCTTGAAGTGCTTGTTGAGGAAGAGACTGGTTTCCATGAGATCGTGCCAGGTCCGCTTATCCTCGACCACTTCGCTGTACCGGCAGAGGTATTGCTCGCGTTGGTAGTTGTGCCAGTCGTCTGGGAGGTGGATGCCGAGCGCGTGGAAGTGGGCTTTTAGCTGCCGGCGCGGGATCAGGAGCCAGGCGAGGGCTGTCAAGTGGGACGTTGTGGATAGGAGCCAGGGGGAGTTTGTGAGGAGGGAGGTGAGGAGGCGTTTGTGCTGGAGGAGTGTGGTGTATTCCGAGGTTTCATCGTCTGCGTCGTCGTCTTTGTCGTCGTCATTACGGCCGGTGGTAGAGTTGCGAGCCATGTGTCTAAAGTAATCACTCGCTTTCATGCCGTTGAGCGGATTCTCCCATCCTTCGCATACGGGCGCTACATAAGACACCGCGCTGACGCCATGTTTCCTCCCTTCTGTCGTCTTAACCCGTCCATCAACCTGCCCCATCCATCGAACCTTGACGCCCTCAAACTTCCTCCGCTCCTTGGCCGACAGCCTAGCCAAGTGGCGCAGAAAGGCATGGATATCCAACTCCAAGCCGTTTCGCCCCATCAGCTCTGCCGCACGCCGTTTAGAGCCCGAGCCGGGCATGAAAGCTACCGGCGAAGATAACACGTCGTGCATCTTGCGGGAGGAGAGCTCGGAAACTGCACGCTGGACGGTTTCTTCGAGCATGGCGGCGAGGTAGAATCCACTGTCGTTGTCGTTGGAAACTTCGCTTCGTAGCACTTTCCAGGGCCGGGCCGCTACTCTCATATTTTCGTCTTGATCGCTGTCTTGGTCATCTGCGCATGATTCCCGCCTCAGTTGGCCCTTTCTGTTGCGCTTTGATCCTGACAGGGATGCTGAGCAGGACGCAGAGCGCAGTGGAGAGTAGCCCTGTGCGGTCAAGGGTAGATAACTCAACACACTCTCTTCGTCGTGTTTCATTTCCTTCCACTCGCTCCACACAGAAGCAGGTGTATTGTTCTTGAGCCAGGCACGTGATATCCATTGTGGGTAGTATTCCACGCGTGCTTGGTTGCCTTGCTGGGCGATTACGCGGCGGATGGTGGGCAGAGTGTGGTGGTGTGTGAAGTTGGAAGCTCGCTTGCAGATGGTTGAAGAGCTTGCGGGATCGCTGTAGGAGGAGAAGGCGGCGTGTGTGGGCGAGATGGATGGCGAGAGGGACTGGGGGGTGCGGTATGCACGACGGCCGGTTGGAGAGAGGATGTTGGAAGGAGTGATGGAGGAGTTGCGGTGTTGGATTGGGAGAGGAGAGGAGATATCGTCTTGTTCCTGTACAGTGTCGTTTTCGTCAATCTTGTTGTCCTCGGTCATGTTGATGCTATTCTCTTCGTCGGACTCGTAATTGACGAGAAGGGGTCCAGCTTTAGCGCGTTCGCAGCAGACACCCTTTCTGGTGCTTGGTCTCCCCTGTTGCGCATGATCAAGATCTGCTTCCTCGCCATTCGGACCCTCGGCTTCCATCTCCTCACCATCGCTGCTACTACTCATATCAATATCCGTTTTCTCGTTGTCGTAAAGCACTGTCTCGTTACTGTGGTCCTCACCACAGGCGTAGGTCATTGTTGCATTCGAACTCAAGATTTGGTCAATCGCAAGCTTTGGATGGGGCTTCGCTCAGTTTTACTTTAGGAAGACGAGTATTAAAAGATTGCGAGGCTTTCATTTTGATGGGCTCTCTACATCAGAAGGTGTCACGTGCTGATTGTTCGGTTTGCTGCAGTGAGACATCAAAGCGCGCCGGAAAGTATTGTTTGGAACGTCAATGAGAAACATTTCTTTGCGCAGTAGTAGGTGCTAGAAGCGGCAAGAGGTTGGTTCAAGCAAACACGAGTCAAGGGAACCTGTATTTGTTGACTTGTCTCAGGAACGTGAGAAGATTGTTGGCCACGCACGCAACGTAGAGAAGAAAGAGGCACCCGAGCTTTCGAACAAAACAATGCCATCTCAACAATACACGAAAAAACCCAAAACCCTAGCAGAGAGGCGCGCAAGGGAACAGGCTGAGTCGGAAGCGAGAATGGATACAATAGAAGCCGACCTTGCGGCCAAGGACACATTGACTAAAAAAGTGTTCGGTCCATCAGCAAAACCTCGCGCTCTCCGAACCAAAATGGATAGACAATTATCTACCGCTCTGGAAAACTATGACTCTGGTTCCGACGAAGTACCCGCGAGCAAGCCCTCAACCCCGTCGACTTGCAAGAGAGATCATCCATCAGACATCGATGACGAATATTTCGAACCAGCGCACAGTCGAAAGAAGTCACGCTTGAGCACCGCAAGCACATCGATGGATCAAATACCACCCGTGAAGGACTGGCCTGCTGAACGTGAAGTAACCAAGCATGGGGTTGCCAATAATTCAATCGGGGCAGCGATTTGGACACCCATAAATAACGACGACAAGGGGAAAGATCGTAGGCCTAGCACACAAATGAATCCACACAAAACAGACAAACAAAAAGGAGAACAAATAAGATGGAATAATCACAATGAATTTCGAGAAACAAGCATTGGTCAGGCTATCAAACCAATCACGGGGCATACCTATGGAATGCATGTGGACTTGAAAATTGTAGGAATTCTCGCCGAAAGGTCTCGCAAAGAAGGTACTGGATTACAGTTCGCCGTATTCCGGGGTGATATGACTTGTCCGAATGGTGTAACTTGGGAAGATCAAGCCTGGATGGAAGCCACTGATAAACGTCAAGAACACATGCAAGATTGGATAGAAAAGAAGGATGCAGAAGCAGCTGTGACAGTTTATGATCTCAAAGCTGGTGTAGCGCTCTCGACCGTTGCTCTCTGGCCGCGACCCAAAGCACTCTATGAACAGCAAAGCCTCGGCCGAAAACTCAATGAACGGCGACAGCTGCTCAAGTTAGTCATGGACTATACCGAGAGAGAGTTGAGAAGGGACGTGTTCGAAGTCATAGACACAGAGCGTTTCAGATTCGCGCACAAGCAGCAGGCTCGTCAGGCGCAAAGCCATGGCATGTCAACCGCGTCGGAGGTCCTACGACGTTTACAGAGGAACACGCTTTTCCCCACCGGTGGCCACCCAGATACGAAATATTTTGACTTCATGATCGAGTATCTACCAGGAAACAACGCAAATAGCGACACTGTCACCCGTAGCGCAATGGAACTCATATCACCGTTGTTCCCGGATCGATTCGAGCCGTATAAGACACGAATAGGGAACATCAAGTCGTATCTGAATTTTTGCAGCTCAAATATCAAAGAATCTGCGACTCTGGCTCATAATCTGGAAATTCTACTTGCTCAGATGATTGTGAATGGGCCTTACCTGATTGGCAACAGGCACTTTACACTCTTGGCCTACTTAGTGTATGGCGAGTCGAGGCTCCAACAATTGCTGAACAGATATAAAATCATATACCCTGTGAATACGATTGACAAGAACCTGAGCGTTTGGATGGAAATTTATTACGAGGGGTGCATCGACGGCTATGATGAATGGACTGCTCGTGGTGACGTTGATTATCTGCGGAGCTTTTTTGGTATGTTGAGGACGACGATAGTCCTAGAGGACTAGATTCCATTTTGAGAGGGGGACTTACAACACTACCTTACTACTTGTACATATGTCACATATGCTGAACTCTTGATATCAATGGAAGCACCTGGGTAGATATTCAACAAAACAAGATTCGTTGTATGATCAATCTATTTCTCATATCATTATCCCTACTCCTACAGGCAAGGCATCTCGATTTTCCTGTCATTACATTCCGAAGGACCAGAAATGTACTGCAACACTCGCACGTTCTATGATTATGTTTGTCGTCAACCTCATGATTCACATGTCTTCTTTGCTAGTTGATTGTGCTCATACAAATATAATTAGACTTTCTTAAGTAGAAGGCCGCTTAATCTTCAACCGTCATTGTTACCTTGTCCAGACAGACAAGACTATCTGTGGTTGTGGTGTTGTCCTATCATGTCTACCCCTGAACATGATTCACAAGAGATTAGCCAGAAAAAGAACCCCCCAACTAAAATACAAGGCTACCCAGACTATGTTACCCTGAGCGAAGTCGTTGATCCTCATGAAAATGCTAACGGACCGGAACCTGAACGAACTGGGAGACTACATAGTCAGCAAGAGACGGAGAAAACGGACTGTTCACATCGAAGCAATAAAGATTACAGGGTCGCAGAAGCCCTTGAAAGTAAGCCAAGAGCAATGCCTCAAACAGCAATCTCTATCAAGAATTCCAAAGCAACAGCCATGGAGACAGAGGCCTCACAAACCTTGATCATTGTGGGCGGCCAAGACGAGCCTGCGACAGATCCCGAGGCCAACCAAGCTATTTCACGCTCCGAACCTGCTACCACAATAACACCAATCTATGTCCCAGAAGTGATGGCAAGGCTCTGGGTAAAGTCGCTGGAACCGAAGAAGGGTAATCAGATCGACGAAAGGGTCATAGCCATCCGCCACGCCGCTGCCAACGAAGAGCGCTTTTATCTTCTCGAGGATCTCAAATGGTACACTCTTCATCGCGTTCCCCAGCACCGCAAGGACGCATGGAGAAAAGATACTTTGAAAGTCGCCATGACATGTGAACCCGTCAATTTCAAAGTCACGGATTCTGAAAATGACGAGGATTCAAGGAATACTGCCGCTCTTTACAAGGGGTGGACTCGTTTTGCCGTTATGGCTGGCCATCCGAATGTAGACCCTCTTCACCATGATGAAGAGGCTTGGAAGAATTCGATCTATCTCAGCAGCTATAATAGGCCGATTGGGGAACATGCAATTAGAATGCATCGAGAACGAATGAAAGAAGTGGGCGATATTCATGAAAACGGACAGGAAGTAGGGCCAATTGATGCCGAATTGGAGGAAGATGATAATGAGGCTAATGAGGGTGATGAAGAAAGAAAAGAAGAGATAGAAGGTTAAGATTCTGCTTTTCTTGATTTGAAGTAAGATATATTAGATTGGAAGCTGCTACCTGATATATTAGACATACGGCGCGGCGAAGCTAAGGCGGATCATCTTGGTTCCTAGATGGATCTCCAGAATAACAAAATATCATCATCGTAGTTATGATACTTTGGTGATGTTCTAGTGAGCTATTTATGTGTTAACCTATTTTACAGATAGCTTTTCCCAATAAAGCCTTCTTAACGGCAGATATCTTTGACAAACCTGGTGCAAAGGACCACAAGACGCACGCTATCTTCGTCTTGCGTCATACTTAGTGGCTATCAGAGACTTCGACCACAGAAAATTCCAACAGTTCTGATAGTAGAGAACTAAAATTTATCAAAAATACATTGATTTGGCCCTTGGAATTCGAATTGAGATCTATGGTCCGCCGTACGCAAGAATTGCAAGTAATGCACGGGGCGTCGAAGCCAGGGATCACATTCGACCATTGAATGATGATCAGATTGCCCATCTTTAGCTTCCGTCCCGGGCAATCTGGAAGGTTTGTTGTGATACATGAGTATACATTAGTATGTTAAAGGAAATCTCGGAATTGATGTGGTACGGGTGTGGTAGCACAGGACGGGCGAACTTTGATGGTTCACATAAATCTTGCGGGAGCACTACATTACCATACTGAATATCTGTGCAACCAGCGTGGCTGCATTAGTCTTGAAGCTTCGCTACCTTCCGGGGTGAATGCGTATCTTATGCTATTAAGGCGTTTCCCTTTGGATTGTGTTGTTAATGTAGAATCGAAAGCGCGGACTCCAAGTAATTGTAATCTGCTTACATTTACCACCCACGCATCAAAACGCGTACGTAAGAGTGAGCTTCGTGCATATGATTTTTAAAAGAAAGATGGAACATTAGATAGAGTTTGATTATAATATATAAATAAATATATACGCGTATCGATCTTATCTGTATACCTGTACCTCTGCGCCATTTGTACAACGTCGTCTCAACACCACGGGAAGTCGTGCATCCTGGAACAAGTCTCTCATTCCCGATGATTGGTATCTTGTAACCTCCAAGCCACCGGCTAGAACTCATACCTGGACCGACATATTGCGAATGTGATACATTAGGAGAAGTTCTTGGTGCCGTGCTAGCCAGTGTTTGTCGGCACACTAGACTCACTCGCCCTATCATTAACACCGCGCGGAGCTCTATTTCAATGGCATCTTATTAATTGCATAAAACTATAAATACTCTCCAATTATCTTAAAGACGATGCAGCCTGTAAGAATAGAAGATTCTCTACGCTGACAATGTCTGCAGTACCGGCGGTACCAGCACCGGCAGTCGCAGCAACATCGTTCTACATAGCTTCTACTGTCGACCCTACAGCAGGTGCCGAATCGAGGAGAACGACCAATTATCCTGGCAGCTTGAATAATAAACTACTAGATATTGAGAAGGCAGCAGAAGGCAGTGAACAAAATGCAGTCGCGCAGGCTGATCTATCACGGGCGGAGTTCGAAGACTCGAATGATCCTGATTGCTCCAAGAACTGGACCAATGAAACCATACGGTATGGGCGATAACTGTGCCAATGGGATTGATGCTTTTTGCCGTTACATTTGCAAGCACAATATTCAATGTCAACATTATCTGCAGAAGAAGTTCGATGTTGATCGAACGGTAGCTGCCTTGGGCGTCGCACTCTTCGTACTCGTATGTTGATCTTAGCTGCAATCTGAGCTCTAGATGGCTGACACAATACATTAAAGGGTTTTGCTTTGATCCCATCGTCTTCGGCCCCCATGTCTGAAGCACTCGGTCGCCGGACACCACTGCTCGCCGGACACGCCATGTTCGCTCTCTTCCAAGTGCTCGTCGCACTCGCTCAGAATATCGCGACTATATGTGTGGGTAGGCTTATGGACAGCTTCTTTGCACCGGCGCCTCTCGCTGTCACGAGTGGCGCACTTTCCGACTTATGGGATCCTATCCCTCGATCGTACGCCCTCTGTGTCTTCACCGTCGGAGCCTTTTCTGGACCAGTAGCTGGGCCGATAGCGGGTGGCTTCATTACCCAGTCAAGTTTAGGATTTCAATGGACCTTGTGGATAACTTTAATCATGGCTAGTCTTGTTGGAACGGTTGGTTTCTTCGTTATCCCTGAAACATCTACAGTCAGAATCCTCCAATTACGAGCGGCCAGACGATGAAACGAGTTGTAAAACACAATGTGTCATCCCACGACTGGTACGAAGAAGTTGAAGCTGGATGTTTTAGTCAATACTTACCTCTTATGACCATTTGTCATGTTGGTACAGGAGCCTATTTCTCGTTCTAATCAGTGCATATATGAGCTGCTTGTATGGCATTGTCTACCTGCTGTTCGAAGCCGTATGTTCTAGTTCGAAAAGGTCCCTATGAATACATCTCTGACACACATAGTTTACTGTGTCATCTTAGGAACAACGCTGTTGGTCCCTCGGACTTTCCCAGCCCCCATTTGTTTCCTTCTCCGTAGGTCAGTTGATAAGTGCCGGACTCATAGCTTGGAGTACCGCTACACACTTCACCCGCGCATAATACATACGGCAAATCGATTCCAGAAGAGCGCCTTCCACCCATGATTGCTGGAGCTATTGCACTTCCTGTTGGCCTTTTCTGGTTTGCATGGATTAGTAATGCCGACATGGTCTGGGTACCTCAGTCTTGTCAACAGCTCTCATTGGATTTGGAACAATGGTACCATTTTGGCAAGGCATGAGCTACTTGGTCGACTGCTACGGTTTTTATCCAAATAGTGCAATTTCAGTGAACACCTTTATTCGATCACTTGTGGAGGCGCTCTTCCCGCTCTTCACACGTACAATGTACGATAATCTGGGAGTAGCGTGGGCGACAAGTCTGCTGGGATTCTTATGCGTTGGGTTTTGCCAGTACCAGTGATACTTTAAATTTATGGAGCAAATAATAGGGAGAAGAGTAAGTGGGCACCGACTGCGGCCTGAAAGACTTAAGTAAGTAGTATTGTGTACCTTCATTGGCAATGGAAAACTTAAGCATGGATAGATGTTGCAGCATTGGTCTTCGGAATAGTATGGTTACATAATGTCTTTTCCTTCTTCATTTTCTCGAATCGGGCTGAGTCTAGATGTCTAGATCCCTCGAATATATAGTCTTTGGAACCTTCTTTGACGCTCGCAAATTTCGCCTTGCCCTGACTCTTCACGGCGTCCTTCCGTCTCTCATCATCAGTCTTCTGCAATTCCTCCCAGTCTCGCTCTCAGACCAACTCGACTACTTGTATCCCCATATGCTCCCATAGACCCCTGTTATCATCCCGTATCGCGATCCTTGTTTCTGACCGATCGTGGTGCGTAGCATACTACAAGCGAACTCATGGCTCCCTCCAACCCTAGCCAGGAGCAGATCCGGCTCAGATTGAAGCCAGGTCTCTTTAGGCCAGCCAAATTGCTCATTCCATCTTATTTTCGTATATCTATGAGGGATTCCGAGTGCAGAGGCGTCCGCAGCTTGGTTAGGCCAGGATTTGCGACGAGCTCGCACTTGCCCGGGCTCGGAATTCTGCTAATAAATAGAGTCAACTCTCCTTCTGATATTGACATTTCGAGAGTTTGTGCAACAATGGGGAAGCTGCGGCTCGTCTTTTCGGGGGAAAGTACTTACCTTGCAACTTATGATCCACCTCAGCCTCAAACAAGAGTGTGAAATGCTCGCCCAGATCTTCCTTATATGGAGCCGGAAGAAGGCCACCCTGAGGAGCGGAATGCTTTGGAGACGATGGGGCGCGTTGTCAAGGTGGTAGATGGGCCAGATGTGCCAAACAGGAAGATCGACGCTGGGTACAGTAACGCAATTATTGCACATAAGCAACACGAGTTGGCGGTGCGGATCCATGGCTACATTGAATCAAATCAGTTGAATCTCGAGCACATTCAGTATTGTGATTGTGGGGGCTGGCGAAGTGGAGGACATGCTGTGTTCTTGCCTGTGCGTGATTGTTGTTTGCTCAGTGCCGCATAAGGGACTTGGGCACTGCTCAAAGGCGCAGCGGAGTCGCGCTAGCAGAATGCTGTATCTGTATTACTATAAGATGAATAACAACAATATCTGCTCAACCAGTGTCTATACAAAATTGTCCATGCCTGTTCAAAATACGTTGCCTTTGGACTGACTGATGGCTCAGTTGACCTAGGAGCACGACATTGCCTGCGCACATAATACTTCGAAAACCTTTCCTTATTTGCCGGGAAGTCAACAAAACACTTCGAACTTAGCTCCTGGTCACGTTTTTGGCAAGTGCGCACGTGAATTAGCTTTGTGTCACTACGCTCTTGGAAGGACATCGCAAACTCAAGGCATGCTCAGGATGACTCGCAGGCAATCATGAAAACCTAAGAGCTTGGCAGAGCATATGTGTGCTAGAATAACTATCTTGTTGTGGTAGTGGTGTAGTTCCAGATACATGCAGTGGTGGCTACAATCTGAGCGATGGTGGTCGTGGCCGAATGTAACAGCATAAATGCTGAAATCGATTGTTAGTAGAGTATGATAGAAAAAAGATCCATGTTTCAATCATCAGATAGTTGCTTTTATGGTTTTCTATCCTTGTGTACGATGAATTGTAGGCGCTCGCACTCGCGCCTTGTGCCGTTGGGCGCAGAGCCGCAACTCAAACTGTGGTTTCGTCGGACCTGGAGGCATCATCAACATATGCCTGATGAGGGGTTTCAAAGAGTACAGAGAGCGTTCAAAACTGCACAGATCTTGACAGTAGTTGAACCTGCTCATTGCATGTGACGCGAACGCGAGATTCAGCTGGTGACTGTCATTGCGACAAACGCTCTTGTGCTGAGATGGAAACCACCCCAATCTTACTTCATGGCCTATATATAATGAAGTATTAGTAAATCCTTTGTCTCGGCAGTACCAGCTGCCTTGTACACTTTGTATTTTCCTTTGTTCTGGTTATGTAGTTTAGTGGTAGATAGTTGATCGGGGTGGGGATGTTTGCTAACTACACAACCCCCAGGTTCGATTCCGGCCGCTGCAAAGCGTAAGTCCGATGGGTCTACGGATATCTTTTTGCATTTTTTTGGGACATTTTACGAAGAACATGTACGTCATACCAGTATTCACTGGAACAGGTATGGCTGTATTGCCAAGAGTGAAGCACAGGCGTGGCCGGGCAACAGTGGCTCGAGGTGAGACATCCGCATACTTACCCCGCTCATAACTTTATCTTAATAAGATGCTTGGTGCGAAGATATATAGATATACCCTTCGTCGTCATTCTCACAGTCTGAGTTGATATTATGACCACGTAGGCGGCCTTGTGCAACGCCTCTCCCGCACATCGCGACGACATCACCTATATAAACCTAGACGTGATAATAGTTTCAATAATATACCAGTAATTAAAGCTCAATTGAGAAATAACAGATATATTTCCCTCCTATCTTTGATTTATCCCCCTTAGCTGCGTCTCAATATGTGAACAATGCTTATCAACCATTGCAGTGCTTGATTATCAATCGGAATTGTGCATGCGCAGTATGATAGATTTGCAATGATGGGATAATGTGAGCATTGTTGGTAGTAATGGTGGACTTTATGTACGCTTGCAAATTTCCAAGCTCACTGGTATCGTCAACAGGACAGGCAACAACAATTCTGCCCCACCAAAATCTCCAACGAAACGACACTACCACCAAGACATCAAGTATAACGCAATTTGATTTCTTCTCAATAGACGGTATATAGCGAATCGCAATGGCTCACGCGCAGCCCATCAGTGTCCGATTCGATTACGAGTAGACAATACGACGAATCCACGAGGTGGTCAAAAAGCTGGCACTCAGCGTATACGGCGTCAATTCTATACACGGCTTGTTCAGCAAACCCACGATCAAAAGCATGCATCGCGACATTTGCTTGCAAAGAGCATGTCATCGGCCGTCTTCAACGGGCCAGGACGCAACGACATCGGAAAGGGGGAAAGCGGCGCTGTCATGCAGCAATCAGATTATAGCTGCTCGCTTTTTCAGCGGGCTTGTCGCATCCCTCATAAGATGAGCTTCATTCGTGCCACGAGAAAAGCAGGTTAATCCTCACGCATATCTGAAAAACAAACACCCCATCGCTTCCTCACAGCCGCACATCCGTGGCTTAGTGCGCGAGACGGCCGTCGGTACTCATCGCGCAAAATAAAAGACTGAATACATCGCCAACATAGACAACATGTCCAAGTTCACAATACATGATGACTTGAGCGGGAGCAATGCATTCCAAAGGTAAAGACACAACATGAGGGAAGGTGGAGGAGCGGTTGATCATCGCCGCTGTGAATGCGGCTCGTGACATGAGTCTGGATGGGGATTGGGGCATCATAGAGGACACATAATAGTGCAAAGACGATAAAAAAAGTCAGGACACCTAGCTTTCGTGAACGCTCTTGAATGCCCGTCCAGCTCGAAGCATGCAGAGTTGTCGCAATAACTCTGAAGGCCATACAACGAGGCATCTTTTGGCAATCTGCTACAGATGTGATTTTGAGTACTCTGATATAGATAGAAGCAATATTCAAGTACTCTCATATAGCTAATATAGAGAGAGTAATTACCGTGCCATTAACTGATGCCTTTTGGAATGGCTTGCAATACCTCGAGTTAAGGGGAGACCTGGCGCAGATTACTTGGAGATAAGCGCACGCTGTATCATTCAATAGTGCTGGATACTGCGCCACAATATGACATTACTAGAAATTCAAATATGTCCGTCACGTACTTCCCTAGCCCTCCTCTCGGCCCATTTGCGGACTTGATGAACGCGGGCGACTGGAGACAAAGCTTCCAACTCGCTACTACACAAGCAGGTGTCGAGCAAATCCCACAGGGACACCATAACCGTATTCCAATATGGGGATGCGTGGTTGAGAAGATCCTCCTCCTCGGCCACAGTATCATCCAGCTCTATGTAGTAGTTCCCATATTTTTCAGAGAACTTGTAGCCCTCCATGATCCAGTCATTCGAGTTCCAGCCGAACTGTCTTCCTGTGCCATCAAATAAAACCACCAAACCTTCCTGGAGTCGTACCTCTAGGACGGAGTGGTAAGGTAGTTTGTCGGAGACAATCCCTGATTCTTTGATGCACGCCGTGGGTATGAGCCACAGATGTGGTCGAGGTTCCACCAGGACCCAATGGACTGTGACGCCGAAAGCTTTTGCAGTATTTGTCAGTACTAACTATTTTTCTTATCGCGTTTGCGTGGTGTGGCTAACAATGAATGTGTTTCTTCAATCCTTTGTGAGCAAAGGTACAGAAGTGGTCGCACATGGATGTATTCGCCATTGCTTGTCTCAATTCCGGTGTCGTAGAAGCAGGCATTGTGCCATATGGGGCGGTTTTTTCGCCCAGTTCGAACTCGTAGATGCGTATGTCACGCAAACTCGGATTCTTGTCCCCGTCAATGTGCCTTCGCTCGAGCAAGGTGATGGCCAATCTGGGCACGAATTTGACGGCGGCTTTGAAGAGGATATGGATGAAGTGGAGAACTTCAAAGATATCGAATACGTGAGAGGTTGAAGAGGTAGCGACATTCTGGAACGACATTATGTATCGTATTGCTGGCTTGACTGGGTATTTGGAAGTGGGGACAACTGAGAGAGCAGCCAGAGACTACTCTACACGACGGTCTGTGCGACAGTCGCTGTGTTTGCAGCTACCGCCTTGAGCTCACGATTTGCAAGAAGGCAATTTGCCGCTACAGCACCAAGCTTCCCTGGTTGGCCGCGTCCTTGAAAATAGAGACAGCTACATCAATTTCTTCCTCGGAAAAACCTCTCGAGCGTATCGGCCTGCTGCTCGGACAACTAGTATGGCTATATTCGCAACACTGCCTCGATAACGGCTCAATGAGTGCACAGCAAGTCGGCGACAGAATCATCTTACAGTTCGAACAAAGCAAAACCGATTTGGAGACCACCGCAACTGACTCCATTGAGCGGCTGTGCAATAATTTGCGAGCCTTCGGATCGCTCCGCGCGCGATCTTCACCAGCTACACTGTTGCACAGCCTTTTCTTGGAGCTACTTTAAGTTAACCATGGCAGATCATAACCTACCTCGAGCATCATACACGTTTATATCGACTCTCGAGATAGTAGTTCTTACTGGGAATATCAGGCGAGGTGGCGATTCGAACGACATTTTCTGGGACAATGCGAGATGGCCCAAGAATTGTCTGCATTACGACCCGATTTCAAAGCTCAGTTCAAGGATAACATGAGCCATCAACATGAAACGTAAACAGGACTTCGCTGTGAGTTGACATATGCGATCAATCACAAGCCTTGACACTTCAGTTTACTTCAGCTATGTGTCCGGAAGATGCGCCCTTGACCACTATACGCACATCACGCGAGACGTTCGAAAACACTCACCGAGCAGAGTTTCGCATGCTGGGACACGAAGCCTTCGCACATGATGTCAACACGGTCACCTACGATTTTCACATCCAGCTTGCTGCTGTGAGCACCTCGACCCGCTTGCGACGATATATAGAGATGATATCATAACAGGCGCATCGGACGCGTTAGCCAGGGTTTGGCGGCGGAAGGTACACACAAACTAGACAGGACACATAGGATACGACGGGGAATTTGAGGGCCATTGAGTAGCATGAGGCATCCAAAGGCTATGTGAGCGACAGAATGAGCGTTGGAAATTCAAATCCCTTCATAATCTTCCTAGAGATGCAGTGATTTGTGGGTTCACTGAATTCTGTACACCTGCAGATTAACGTCCTGTCAGGGCACAGTCTCGGGAGACTATCATGACTGTCAGAACCTGCGTAACTTGCAAGTATCCATATCCTCGTATCACATAGCGAGATAGCTATCTCAAATTCGCTTCGATCCTATAAGTCATGGGGCTCTCCGCGCTGGCAGAGCTTCGCTCTCATTTCACGGAGATCAGTCCACGGTCTTGCACAGCCACCCAAAATTCGGCGATCCGGAAATTCCTGAAGACGCGTCTAACTTGAATAATTAAATCCCGTATAATGGCAAGGGTAGAAGTATCCGAAACTGCTCTTCATCGGAAGTGCTTTCAGATAATGAAAGAGGGCTGATAGGCAGGATGAAGTGCACTCTAGTCTGGACGCCATTCCACTTTTGGACTAGCGTTTCAACAACAGCTCCGGCGCTCCACGACCTCAAAGAGCAGGAATGCCAGGTCGATCGTTGCAACAGCAGACAAGTAATGCCCTGCACCTCCTGGACTGTTCATATGTTCTCTTCAATTGATATTCATCCCTAAAGCACATCTCAGGGTGGTGAAATGTGCGTGTCCACGTGATATCGTGCCATGGTCAACTTAGATCCAAAGTTCAGATGCCATAGATGCGGCAAGACGGTAGCAATCAGCAAATTACCGTATTAGAGTAAATGAATAAGTCGACTCTTCATAAGGTTTCCGCCTTGTAGGATAATTTAAACTCGCTTGACAGCGATATTTGTAAAGCCACGTTGTCTGATGAGCTGTATATTCCAGCTTTCATGACTTCTTCGGTATTTCTGAGCGCCGTTACTCGCATAATGTTCAATGGCTATGCCCGGTGGTTACTGTGGTGGTGAAGGCGAAGCTCAGCAACACTTCTCCTCGAAGCTCAGCAACTCCAACACCCGAAAACTTGGCGGCAGGCGGCAGGCGGCAAATCATTCCTGCCATCAACAACCATATGCTCATCAGCTACTCTCGTATCTCTCAGCACCCACAGCTATTTAGAATGCAGCACATCAGCAGTTTCCCAAGTTGCACGCGCGGTTTCGAGGAACGAGGGCCGATAGCTTGTCCACATTGCGTTAAAGTGCCCGAAAGGCTCTTTACTCCATCGACAGCAATCACATCGTCTACTGCTGCAACGAGCACATCTTTCAATATACGGAGAACCATCAGAGTGTCTGTGGTAAAGGTCGTGCCCGGGTCATATGCATTTCGTGCAGGAGCCGTTGGCAGGGCGATCTTCGAGCCATGGGGCGAGGCAGTGTTCCTGTACAAGATTTGGAAATCGAGGTTTATGGCCGAGACGGCTGACGCGGATCTCTACCTCTGGCTGGGCTATGATAATCTTACAGTCGTCTCCGACCGCAGATGGAGCCGTGTGGGACAACATCGCGCGGAACGCTGCTACAAGCTATGAGATGTGCCGGATGGCCATTGTGCTGATGACAACACCACGCGTATGGCTGTTAGAAGGTACAGCGCCTTCAAATACTAGCACATGATTAACCATACTCTAGACCGACATATTCAACTCGAAGACGTGACCGTCCACCCCAACAACACAGTCTACCTCAATGTCCTATTATCGGGGCTCTGACAAAGAGGTTTGAGATTTGGGGCCCGGCTGCAGATCACGCCATCATCTAGTTGCCACCCAGGGATCTACAAGACCCAACAATCCCTAACTTGAGCTCTAGAGAACACTTCCACGAGGAAACACACAATTCCAAAGACCGCCGACCAGCAAAATCGCACCACGAACCCCACAATGGGCCGCGCGCGAGTTCGAGAACTAATACGACCAACGGCAAATACGATTGATCATAACAAGGTCTTCACACCATGGAAAACCTCAGCTGCTGCTCTCTTACGAAGCGGTCTGGCGTGCAATCAACACTGTAATGTTGTACATACGGAGAGAAAAAGAAGAAGGGCAAGGCCGGCACTTTTCCAACTCCCGATTTCCAATGCAGTGAGGCGTTGATACGCATCAAAGGTGCTCTTCAAAGTGCTTTGTGCCGAATTAGCGCTGATATTGACGAGGTGGTGGAATGCGCAGGCAGTAGGAATATTCCAGTCTACTTGAGGATGTCGTAGAGGCTGAAGAGGAGCCGGGTCATGCGGCGATGATAGAGGCTTTCCAGACGCAGAAAGCGGATAGGCTGAGGGAGTATAGCTCGTAGCTAACATATTACATGATCCTCCACCTTGAGAGCCCAAACAGTGAAAGAAAGATGGCCAGATTGGCTATCATGTAGCTTTTCCAGAAATAGAACCTTGTCCTTTTACCATTTTCATAGAAAATGAGAAATCCGTCAAAACTCTGAATGCAACCATGATACATGGGTTGGTATAGCGAGGTGATGGGCATTGCAACGGTGAATACAACTCCCAGAGCATTCTCAGCGTATTCCAATCAACAACGAGGGCCATTAGAAAGCCTCACAGTGACGTGAAATTCATGGCAGCCATACAGTATCTCGGGTGAGACTGTCTTCAGTTGCGAGCACAGTGGCCGAAATGGCACCAAGCTATACAAACCGTAACCTCAAGTGCTGTAACACGGTGCCAAAAAGACATCCCAAGAACCAATAGCTACACTGCAGATTCGAACTTGCGATTAACAGTGAACCAGACATCCAAACAAAAACCTAAACAGCAACCCAAAGCCGCAAAAAAAGGGACAATCTCGCCTTTTTGCCGCCGGCCGCTCTACGATGAAGTTAGTATAGAAGGATTGGGTAATTTACGCTTTATATACTGCAAGGACGAAGGAGTTTGTGGGATGATGCTGGGTGGGAGTGGCCTTCACTGAGGCATCCACAATCACCAGATATTCGAAAAGCTTGGCAGGGATGCAGGTTGGCAGCGTGTTCAGTTGCTGGCTTGCGGCAGGGTGAAGTGCGAATGGGTTCCCCAGATCCGTTTACACTAAATGCTCACCAAAGAGGTAGGAATCATTTGGTGTAGTGCATTTGCATGCCCGCAACACTGTATACAGGGGTTAATCTCGGTATGTAAATCTTGTAGTGTGCAGAATTGAGGGGACTCTCTAGCGAGCTGGCCTTCTGCTCTGCTCATCTCATAATGCTTACCAACATTTGATGGAGTCATTACTTGTAGATCGCGGCAGTTAGATTTCACATGGCACGCGTTCTATTGTATCAGCAGCGATTCCCATCAACGCAGTGCAGATCTCAGTTTCAAAATTTGCGGCGAAAGCTCGTCAAACATGACGAGCGCACCAAGATGCGGTTGGGCACATCCCCACTGACTGAGTCTTGGGATACTGCAGGTCTCAGAGAAGCGAAAGTCAGACTACACGCTCACTCGAAAGAAGGGTTCAGATGATGGTGTTGAGGGTCCATTTGCGGAGTCGCCCGCCTTTGCAAAGCTCCCCACAACACCGACACCAGCAGCCCCCGCACAACCGGCCATAGCTTTTGTAGCAACATCAGACCTGGGAAGTGATCAAGGAGATACATGGAAATCTGAAAGCTACTCAGGACTGGCTCTTTGAAGTACACAATACGCCTGATGCAGCTCTAGGGGCTGGTGGGAGCCACAGCAGCAGAGTGCTCATGCCGACCTCGTTGAAGCTGAAGATGGTATCTCAGGCGATTTTGAGATTTTCAAAGACTCAATTCTGGCCATGCACAGCCATTCGTCGTACTTGCGATACATGGTGATCTTGCTGAGCTACTCCGCAATCGACGGCGCACAACTGGCACCCGGGAGAGGGCGGCCAGTTAGGCGGCCAGGCCAGGCCAGCGGCAGCATTCAGAGCTTTTGAAGGCAGCTTTCGAAATTCATCTACAGCACTTTAGAGGACTTGCATGCCTTAATCGGCTGCATTCCGACCGCCAACGACGTTCAAGGCGAGAGACCATCCAGGGCCTTTGACAGCGCAGACGTGCGACAACAGCGAGAGCTTGTACAATGGAATGGCAACCCAACAAAATACAGACCAACAACACCTGGCAACCTGATTGAAAGGCATTGCACGTCATCGCTGAGCATGAAAGACATACCCGAAGATGGCAGCACCTGCGAGAAAGGCTGCAAGAAGATAAGGCGCTCAACAATAGGTTTCTCTGCGTGGCTTCCTTGATAGCACCGGCTGTTTCAGACGATCTTGCAGCACTTACAACAGCTTCGCTGCATGTTGCCGCAAAAAGAGGGAATCTCGTCTTTGCGAAGAAATTGGCGCATGCCCCTCAGTTGCGAAGGCTAACATCGTGAGCGAGCTTCCAGGACAGCATGAGCAGCCAGTGGCATCGACGACAAGCCTTCCCCAATGTTCAAGCCCAAAAGAAAGATATCAGTCCGTGGGCCCACTCTTGAGGGACTTGTGGTGCAGCGTGCGGGCTGCTTGTGCGAAGCTGTTCTCCTAGTACACTTTATGCGGAGTTCACACGAGCAGTTTTCTGGAATCTAGGAGCGGCGCGCCTCTCTTGAAGCACTTTACTACCATGTGCCTGCCCCTGGTGATCCGGGACTTGACAAGTCTGGCGCGGAGTCCGGAAGAAGAATCCATGGAGCAACACTGGTACAAGGCGCAGGGCATTTGGTAACAGTTGTCTTCATATCAGGCTTCTTTCATTCTTTGCCTCCAGACGAAGATTGGTTGTTGGAAAGATAGGTCCGTGACCATGGCATGACAGAATGCAGCGGGCTGCAGCAATTGACAGGTTTATGTCACTCTTCGGAGTTGTCCATCCAGCGCAGTAAACTGCGGGCTCACAGGCCAACGGCCACACTCTCAGTTAGACTGCGAGGCAATAGTAGGTCCAACGCCCATATAGACACACAGACGTGCATGATGCTGACAAAGACTATTCATCCCTTAGGCATCCATCGAACATCCTTGGGATCACCTGACAACGATACATGGCATGGAACACTTCGGACAGCAGCTTCAGTCAAGGAGTACCTCTTCAATGGACAAGGCAATCAACGAGTCAAGTACCGCCATGCCCTATCAAGCTGCGAAAGAGAACTGGGCCAGCTCCAGACGGTATCGATGGATTTTCCCCAGTCACAAAAATGCGACAGGATCATAATGAAACGACAGCGGCTCATCCCAGGCAGATCGACAGCAATGGTAGGATGTTGAAAGATGGCAGGCCTAGCTAACAAGAAGACAGACATCCACTGGTTTTCGACGAAGCCATGCCTTTATGTGACCAATTACTCCAGCGATCAGCCGGTACGAGCGAACCATACAAGCCATTTTCGGGCATCCCACGGGCGCCACACCAAGCGCAAGGTCTATCGAGACTCCCGAGATTCTGGAGCTTGCAGGAAAACAGAGACGATATCGGCTCGGATCACCGAAGACAAGCAAGCATATCGCAACATGATGCGGCCAACGAGGCATATAAGGCGTGCAGTGTGGGAAGGCATAAGCAATTGTCTGGGAATTATGGCCCTGAGTGGTTTCGCAGGCAATATTGGATATATGAGGTCGCGACATCGTTCCTGAAGGAGAGCGTCTGTTCCAGCGGATATATTCATAACTGTTGAACCCCGGATCTCATCGGCATCAGGTGCAAGGTCCAGAGCGGTGGATTTACTTTGCCCATGGGGACGATGGTCGTTGCTCCCGAGCCGAACTTGGACATTAGGTCATGAGGCAGCATTCAGGACTATCAGGAGGTCGTGCCGTATACACACTGTATCCCCACTTGTAACATTCCATCGTTGTGAGAATGGCGAATTCCAGACACAGCATTCGCCTGGGTATGCCACTTCCTCTTCGATCGCTGTCGAGCAAACTCTGCCGATGTGCTTGGATCATTAGGACCCGGACGGTTCGACAGACACTGCACTGTCATTTCAACAAGGATTCTAGAAAGATCGCCTATGAATCTTAAGCCGGACTCTGAATCATCATCAGGACAACGATCAAATAATCTAGACAGTTGCATCTGCAGACAGACGCCCTCGTAGCAGATCTCCTCAGTCGTCTTCAAGGGTGTCTCGAGCGAGCAGTGGTGATACTATTAGATGAGTCGACTGGCCAAGCTTTGCGATCATTTCGAGATCGGGTTTCCGACGTAGGGAAATCAACGTAGGGCCGTACCGTCAAGGGGCATGTATAAGACGATTGCCTGAACTGCTTTCGACAGAGGTCTTCGGGATTGTATGAGCCTGCATAAATATGCCAGGAGGTGCCCTCAGACTGTCAGGCAGTGGGTATCACATCGAGAGGTACAAAGTGACAGCCCACATCATAAGAGCAGTAACATTCAATTCAGTGCTGCTTTGTCGATCCACGCCCATGTCGATGGCGTTGCCGCCTATCAGGTCTGCAGCGTGAGAGGATGAGTATCTTGGAAGCTAAGAATGGACGTCTCGGAACTCTGTACGACATACTTGCCATCCTGTCGCCCAGCAACTTTCCGAAAACTTGTTGCCATGGTCAGAAAGAGCAGGAGGCCGAAGACATCAGGCCCAGGTCGAAAGGCCAGAATGAACATAGCGCCACGATTGCGATTGTTCTCGAGATCGAAGCCGCATTTTGCGCGACGAGACACGCTTCCAATGGAATATGCAGGAAGAGAATTACACGAAGACAAGTTCGCATAATGCCAGGACTCCCAGCTAGTCGTCCATCGAGAGGACACCACCAGCATCAATCACCTCAACCAATACCAAACTAAGCAAAACACCCACCACCAACCGAACCTTCTCCCTCGCAACCCACAAAACATGACCACACACCACACATGTCGCACAAAGAGATGCATCGGCCCAGATCTTCTAAGACGGAGGCCACACCAGCTGTTTAGTACTTTTTCATCTTTTGTCAAGATACCCAGCAACTGCATCAGCTGGTGCGGTACCTTTCGCTTAGCATGGCTAAGGGTCGCCCCAATGAGGACAGAGGTGCTGCCAAATGCTGTTTAGTCATTGAGCAGGTGTGGATCATGCCAGTGAGAGGTTTCAGGAAAAGCTCGAAGCACAAGCATCCATCTCTTCTCTTCCGCATTCAATTCACCTTGCAAGCAAAGGATATTGAAGAGGCACTGAGATCCGAGACTTCAACATGCAAAACGAGAGTTCATGATGAGCTTCTGCACAGCTCAGTTTTTGATCAAAGATGTCAATGGAGATAGGGCCTTCAACAAACACTGCCGAGTCAACGAATGCTTGATCGACAACATCCCATCGACCGGGTGAAATGAATTCGAATAAGACGTCTAACAGCCCTGGGAAGTACCGCTTCACTCTCTAGAGTGATGGGAGCTGGTCCGGAATTTGTCGTCATGTTGCATTCAATTGCGGGCAGGACACACCGTCTTTATATGCGAATTTAAGTCGATGCTGTAGAAGAACTATTCAGGCGCTTGGGCCTGAGGCAACTTATTTGGAGATTTGACTTTGGAAGGCTCAGCGCTTCCGAGATTTAAGCAGATGTAGACGACTTGAGCAGTCTATCTCTACTAAGGAATGAAGCGGCTTTACTATTGTTGAGATCAGGAGGGGGCTGTCGCAGACGATGTGAGAGATCAAGCTTGGAGATGAGTCCGCGACTAAATTATGCGACCAGGTAATGGAGGAAGACTCTGAAGTGGAAATGATGCTGGAGAAGGGGTGTATAGACTGAGTTCTGGGGTAAGAGAGGAGTTGAAATGCTGTGAAAGAGACGGAGAAGTGGCCTGAAGAAGAAATGGAGAAGAGACGAGTGGAAAAGAGACGGAGTCTTGACGTGGAAAGAGGATGGGGAAGTGGCCTGGAAAAGAAACGGACAAGTGGCATGGAAAAGAGAAGGGAGTGCTGACATGGAAAAGAAACAGAGTGGTAACTTGGGAAAGAGACGGAAAAGTGGCTTGGAAAGAGACGAGGTGTTGACGTGGATATTTGAATTGGGAATTCGCAAGGACTCGACTTGAGAAGTTTGAAAGAGAGGGTTTGGCGAAGAAAGAAAGTACGGTGCATTGAGGGGGTTGGGGTCGAAGAATATGGAGGGAATGAAGAATAGAAATGTGTATGCCTGGGTCTGAAATCTTGAAGGAGGAAATGAGGATGATGAAGGGGTGCGATGTCTAGATATAAGAGTGTAGGGATTGAGATAGAAAGGCGTGTGTAGGAAGGGGGTCTTGAAGAATGAAAGAAGACGGTGGGGGTTGGGGGGTTGCGATGTTTGGAAAGAACATATTGAAGGATAAGAGATGGAGAGGGTGGTGCGACTTGACTTATGGGTATGGGATGGCGGAGAAGAAGAAAGGATGAAGTAAGGATGCAGTCTGGGACGACTACGCGCAGTGATGGAAGAGACAGATGCTTTGAGAAAAGAAAGAGATGGAAAGTGCAACCTTGTCCCTTACCCTGATGTGGGGTTGGTGGGCTGCCTCAGCAAGACTGGCCGACGGGAGTCTAGCTGTTGCATCCAGGACACTCCAAGCAGAGCGACTATGGCCATTGAACAAGATGGTCATAGGACCAACTGGAACGCCGTGGGATTCAGAGTCGTCGATTTGAGCTTGTGGTGTTTACGACGACTTGCCTTCCTCGAGCGTCGAGGTGCGCAAGGCCCGTCAACCACGTGCACTGCTACCGAGGCAGTAAGACACTCGAGCATCCCCTTCCGAGTCCAACGAACTTGTATGTTCTTGTATTCGAGGTGTAGCTGGAGGTTGTACACCGCCTTTGTGCGCGTTCATGTATGCAGCTCCCCATTCCGTCTCCCGGCCGTAAGGGTGCTTCCCCGCCATGTCACCCACCGGAAGCGGAGAAGCTGCTTGCGCATCACATCACGACGCTCGCTACATCTGCGGCTGAGCGCCTTGTAGCAGCATGAAAGCTCGGCGACATGCATAGGACTGCGATGCAGTCTGCCGGCGTAGGTGGTGTAGGCTTACGACCGACGATTGTCGAGGGGTCGCTTCGGGGTCGGCGGCGAGCCGCAGCGGAGTAGGGAGGCCGATATACTTGCCGTGGCGATTGAGGCTCTTCGAACGTGCGAAGATGAGCGTCGGTATGAGCTTCTGGAAGGTCATGAGTGTGATCTACAGCGCCAGAGCTGCTGCCAGGTGCCTGCGGTGAGTTTGGTGCCAAAGGCCACGCGAGAAACCAGGCGGTTCCGCCCACGAGGGTCAGAGAGTCTCTCTTCCCGTCAGTAAGACATACTCGAGAAGCTCTGCTTGATGAGAGCGAGATCGAGAAGGCGAAAGGGATTGTCTATTGGTGTTGGTGGAGACCGAGCTGAGGCTGGGGTGGGGTAAGAGAAGGGGCGATTATGAGGGAGCTCAAGGGCGGCACCGGGTGGCTAACTAACGTTACCGGTACCGGTATGCGCTAAGGTCCGCCACAACCGTGGTATGCTTGATGCATACCACAACCTCACCAGGTCTGCTGACTGTATTCAGACTTTCGGATGGGCATGAGCAGATGCAGAGCATGCACCTCCCCAGTTTACAGCTGGATTCCCAAGCGGGCGGAGGTTGTGGCATGGCCTCAAAAGGGGGGAGGGCACAATTGCGGGGTAATGATTTTCCGACGGCAGCACAGGTCCTTCAACAACAGCGCGTCCGAGCGGGGGGGGTCGGGATCGGAGAGTGGGGGAAGTTTGCGACGGTGAGAGCCATTCACAGCTGAATGGACAATCCGCGGGCCATAGAGACCCTGCGGAGAAGAATCACTGGACAGCGCCTTAGATCTCCCACTCCCAGAACATACGCAGCAAGACCAATGTGACCGGGACCTCGAGGCGGCAGAGAGGAGCGCAATTCACCCGTCGCTCGCACATCAACCACAAGGCCAGCATGTGTACCGGTAGAGCGCGCGCGTCGCCTCGATCACAATGTTGAGCTGCAATAGAGGCAGGGGTAGGCAGAACGGCAGCATCAAGGACGCCTGGTCCATTGTCGAGTAGCAAGGCCTTTGTTCCACCGAGTCACCAGGCGGTCGAATATTTCAAGGAGCCATGCCAGACCTTACAGACACCAGATTGCTATAAGACGATGCCAAAGCGCCGCGTTGAAGGTCCACACTCAGAGAGTTGAGACTGCACGAGAAGGAACAGGAAGAGTCACCTTCTCCTTGCACCATTCTCGCTAAGTTGGCAGTCAACATAGGCGAATAAAACATCGAAAAGACAAGATAATTGGGCGTCACAAATATAGGATGACTGCATATTAGAGAAGGCGGGATAGTAACACGTTGTGCATACACTCGCGACATCAAGGCTACGGTCTAGCAGCAAGGCAGGCATAACTTCCCCTATGGGGACATCAACATTAGGAGTGGTCCGAAAGGTATTACTAAACCTCTGAACTCTATTTTTGTGACCAGCACACACTGAAAGATAGATCAAATCGACAAACTAGGCATGCTCTTCTGCTACACGTGCGGTAATATCAGTTCAATTTCAACCAGTCCGCATCGTCTCCCCTTTGGAAAGCCGCGTCCAGATCTTCGGATAGTTCCTTTCGATCCGATACTGCTCTCCGTCCCGCTCCACTCCTTCAAAGAGGCCCTCCCTCCACCCACCTTCGCCATCCTCCCGGAAGGTTATCGGTCCACCATAACGCCAGGACAGCATACCTTCAGCCCGAGCTCCATCAGACGCTTCCAAAGCACCAATCGCTATGTCAACAAACGTAGGTCGATCTGGTTTGGTCGCTCATGTCGACGATCCGCCAAGACTCGAGATGTTCTGCTGAAAGTTGAAGGTTCGGATATACAAGAATTGGACGAGGATGTATTCTCACAGTTCATGTCACTGACAACAATTGACGAAGCATTTATTGATGGCGACAAGGTGACATGAAAGAGAATTGGTCAGCCGACACGGGGCAGTCGCGACTGCTGAACACGAAAACACGTGACTGCGCCCTTCGTCTGTGAACATTACGTCATACTATCAAATGTGTTACTCTTATGGGAACAGTGTGGGAAAGCTGACACAACAACATTTCGTCTTCTGCTTGTCCGAGTGAGTGCGAGAAAGGAGTTCTCCCATAGTTCACAGTGCCGCCTCCTGGCTGATGCAAAAAAGATCTTGCAGATACTAGATCAGTGTTCAAATTTCAGTCATTGAGCACCTGTTTATTTTGGAAAGGCTTTAGTATCCTTCATAACCATAGCCCGGTGTTTGAGCAGTTTCGATTAACACTTCAGGGCCACACCGGACAGCTGGTAATGAGCGTTCAAGTCTTCGACAGCGAGTACCGCAGCCCTCTCTTTCCCACTGGGCGACATGATTAATCTAGAAAGCCCTTCTGCCACTAAATCATCACCTTCCCAAAAAGAGAGGGTCCCCAGGTCGCTTAACGGGGTTACATTTCTAGGGAATACCCTAGTATTAGTGCTCAAACGATAGAACTCCAGTCAGCCTGGGTTCACTTTGACTCACAGAATGTCTGCACCATGATTACCCAGGCGAAGAAGTGGTTAAATCTTGGACATGAGCAGTACACATCAGATACGAGGAATCTCAGGGGCGCCTCGTGAATGCTGTACGTTATCCGGCTAAATAGACACAGTGCGATTCTACTTCATCGCCCCCACATGCAGCTTACCGGCTACGACAGCATGGCATTCCTCAGAATAGATGTGCAATCTCCATATCCTGTCAGCCTCTGTTATTGTCAGCCGTGTGCAAGGCTAGCTGATGTAAGTTCCCGGTGTCTAAAATGCTACGTACATCTTCCCGCACATACGGCTTGGTGAGCTTGCAGCTGAACGTTTTGATCTTGGTTTGAGTCTGAGGCTGAAATACTAATATGCATCGGCCGTATCATCTGCGACTTCTATATTGCCGTCAGGATATCTATCGAGGCGGAACCTGGGATTCTGTTGAATGCTGGTGCCTAAGAATAGCAAGGGGATCTGGATACGATCCCAGGTACGAGTAGCATGATAAATTACGTGCATCTTGTGATTGACCCCCTTCACTTTTCACGCCATTCCCGGCTTCCGATCAGGCGGGAAAGTGTTCCTGGAAACCCGGATGAGGTGAGTAGGTTCGAGGCGCAGTCAACTATAGTCTATCGGTCCAGCCTGATTGTAAACGGAAGGTCTCAACGTATGCGACGCTAGTAATATTCCCTTTCCACAATCCCCACGACAACACACTTTTATGCAGGTGCAATATAGGCAAAGTACCGCCGTATTGCTTTGAACAGCTGAATGCCATCCAAAGTCAATAGTACAAGGTCGAAGGAGAAAGCAACGCTGCGAACATCTCTATTCGGTTATCTAACTTTCATTGGACCGCCTTGCTGGCAAACTCTATAACAACATTGATTTGCTGACAACATCTCTCACAATATTGACTCGGTAGAACTAGATATCCTAACTACCACTTGGACGTTCGTCAAGCGAGCGGCAAACCCCACCTAGAAGCCATGTGCATGTCTGAAGACCTGGAATACAGCCCGGTGAATCCTCAGGCCCTTTGCGTCGGGCTCGTATTCATCTACAACTTCGCTTCAGGATCCAGAGGTGAAGAGGCGTGCCCAACGACTAATCTAATGACCACCAAGAGTTCTGTTCTAGATTTTTATATCCTCATTTTGTTGTATGATAATGTGATGACTATATAAGTCCAATAGCCCGCGAAGTGACTAGAAATTTTCATTATCATCTCAAGATCCATCATAACTTCTTTTCCCTTTGCATCCTTGCACCTCTTCAAAATGAAGATCTCCACTCATCTCTTATATGCCTTCATGGTACTCCTCCCCCTCACAGACGCCCACCCAGGAATGACCTCCCAAATAACCACAATGCGCCGGCTCGCCGCCAAACAATCCCGACAAGCCTCCAAAGAACTCATCGGCGATCTCAAAACCCTGCCCGACTCCAAACTAACCCCCATCGCCAAAGACATCAAAGCCATTATCCTTGACCAAAAGTCTGCAGAATCAAACACAATCGACTCTTCCATCCCTGCTGGCAACATTGGCAGCGCCGCCTGCAAAGCAGACGCCTGTTGCCATTGGAAATGGCTTGCATATGAGATGACGGCCAAGTTCAACGGCACCTCGGGACGGTGCACCAAGTTTGCCAGACAGGCTGTTCGACTTGGGTTCCATGACGCGGGGGTGTGGACTAAGACTAGTGGATATGGAGGTGCGGATGGGAGTATCCTGCTCAGCAACGAGATGAGCCGGACAGACAATGATGGACTGCAGGCTATTGCTGATCAGACCAAGAAGTGGTATAACAAGTACAATCAGCATGGCATGAGCATGGCAGACATTATCCAGTTTGGTGCCAACGTCGCCACCGTGGTCTGCCCACTCGGTCCTCGGGTTCGCAGTTTTGTGGGAAGAAAGGACAACAGCAACGCAGGGCCGACGGGACTGTTGCCGGGGGAAAAGGACTCGGCGGACACGCTGTTGAAGCTATTCGCAGCCAAGACAATCGATGCGCATGATCTTGTGGCGTTGGTGGGTGCGCATACGACATCGCAGCAGCATTTTGTCGATACAACACGTGATGGTGATCCACAGGATACTACGCCTGGTGTTTGGGATATTGCATTCTACCCGCAGACGACGGCAAATCCGCCTGTGAGGGTGCTGAAGTTTCAGAGTGATATCAATCTGAGCAAAGATTCCAGGACGAAAGGCGAATGGGCCGAGTTCAGCGACCGTAATCTCGGACAAAGTCACTGGAACGAGGTTTGTTGATGTTTGTTTGATGATGGTAGGATACATACTGATTTTAGCAGGACTACGCAAAAGCTTACACTCGCCTCTCACTCCTTGGTGTAAATAATATCAATGAGTTGAAAGAGTGCACAAAGGTGATGCCCGCAGCACGCACGACATTCGTCAGTGAGGACCAAGTGCTACTTGATAGGTGGCTGAATGGCGAATTCGATCAACTGAATAACCTAGTTGACGATGCTATCCAGCTCACGGGCGTTGTCTCTGGAACATAATAGAATCTTGTAGTTAGTGTGACTCTGTAGTAATTTCGACCCTACTTCACCTCCATGCCCGTGCACTTGCCCACAACACTCAATTTGTTCGATCCACAACATCAGAACTTACTGCATCCTGCCACTTGCTAGTCTTCTTTCAAGCCCAAATCTCTCTACCATCCAGCAGCTACAAGCCTCTCTGCGCACTATACATTATCAAAGACCTCACTCGACGCACACCACCACCACCACCACCACCACCACCGCGTGTCACCATGTCCTCCTCCAACACCACCAAACCAGCCACTGAGGCCGACATAATCGCCCTCATCTACGCCCTCGATGTCGATCCCGTCTTCACGGGCGACCCCATCACCACTACCAACACCACCACCACCATGAGCAATTCCCCGGAGCCCCCCACCAGGCCAGTCCGAAGGACCATCAGACCACGCTGGCTCCCCTACTCTCTCTCTCGTCGCCCGCATCCCCCCCGTCCCTTCAAGAGGGATACATTGGTGCGTTGGGTCTGCTGTACCTGCATTGCTGCGACGTCGTTTGAAGATGGCGCAAAGTGTGAGGGCTGTGAGCACTCTGGGTGCAGCAAATGCCAGAAGTATAGGAGGGGCAAAGAGGGCGTTGTGGGGGTGGAATAGAGGGGCGTGGAAGGATCTGTAGGGGTATTGGGACGGGATTGGGAATGGCCGATGAGCTGGAGGGGTAATGGAAATTTCGGGAGATGAAGAGGATGGATGGGGGAGAAGTTGAGGGGTTCTGGGATAGTGTATGATAATTGACACGATGGGATGATGTAATGACAGACAGCTCCAATCTGCAATTCAAAGTGAATAAGTAATAGCTGCTCGAGTCCCCGTAGGAGTGTATTGCGGAAACCAAGCGACAAATATATGGCTAAGTGGCCCAAGGATGGTGATATGGCGTTCAGCCGTACAAACGACGAATTTGAAGAGCAGATTAAGAGCAGATTAAGAGCACGTTGAAATAAAGAGCGGAGATGACAGAGTCAGGCAGGAACCAGCAATTGAGCCGGCAGAACATGTGGCTATTTTTTGCGGTGCCCTTTGTGTTCTTCTCCACAGTGATGCAGTGTTTGGGTCCGGTAATCATGCACGAATGGGGGTTCAAGGATGGAAATAGAAATGAGAACCACGAGTGGACAGCAGCAATAACAGCAAGAGAACAGACTGGACTTGGAGTATGAAAGAATAGTGCCATCTGTCTGGCCCTTCAGAAAAGGACTGTATGCAATACTGAATCGGTTTTTCATAATTGCAACATTAACACGAAAAGCTCCTTCATAGCCACTCTTTGGGCACAGCTCTTTCTGACCACGTCCTCTCGCTTTCCCATGCCAGCCAATCTGATCTTGTCGTCGGAAGCAGTCCCATGCCATTCACCTTCCAGATTCCCAGAGCCAGCATGAGCATGTTGCATAATATGTAGACGGCCTTGACACCGAGCAACCGACCCGAAGTACCAGGAGTTTCATAAGGGGCGAATGTGCGTTGAAGGCCTAGCACAGCTAGGACGGGTGTCTTGAACAGGGTGAAGACCATGAAGACGGAGAAGATCTGGAGCGTGTTGCCAGTCATGTACATGCCTATATATATTTATATAGGTAAGTATTTGGTTTTTGTTCCGATTGCTTTTTATATCATATATAACGTACCAAAGGCGTTCATAGGCAACTGCTTGGCTGGGGCAATGGCAACCTCCCAGGCCTTCTTCATCTTCAACGTATCCATCTCCTCGAGAGTTGGGGGCTTCCTGGCTGATTTGGATGAAATGGCACGTTCCTTTCGAGTGAGAGAGGCCGTATAACCGGGTGGATCCTGTAGCGATGCATTCTTTGGCTTGGATGGAGGCGTGGAATTGAGGTCCAGCACCCATTGTGGGGGCGACGGAGGTGCTGTGGTCATGATTGTGATTTACTCGATCGCAATATCCTATCCAATCGTATCCTGATTATTTTTGGACCGGTTTCAATTGCGGTGGTTAGTCGGTATCGTTGTCGTTGGACATGGGATGAGGTTGTGGTCTCGGAGTCTCTCGACACCCGCGCGGAGACAGGCAGCTACAACGGGCTTGGCGGATGCACGTTCCCTGCCCAGGTGGGTCCCCCCCGTCCAACGTCGAGCCCGAGCCACTACCACTACCACTACCAACACCACAGACACTCTTCTTTCATCTTGACCCTTCCACACCTTCCCGGACCTCTCCGACATGCGCGTTGTGAGAGCAGGCGCATAGACTCGCGATAACAGGCTTCAATTTCAACTTCACACGCATCTTCGACACAGCACATGCATTGGAAGTCTGCTCCACTGGCACACAGGCGATAGCCAGCCCACGATGAGCCAGGGCGGCCAGGATGCGAAGCTCTTCGCGAGGGTATGTTCCTGGTGCTCTCTTTTCTCCTTCCTCTTCTCATTGTATATTACCACATCTCCTTTCGTAGTTATTTATAGTGGCACATGTTCTCCTATATCGCCTCGATGCCATGATTCACTACCACTCATGTCTCTTTCCTATACACTGTCGAAAGCATACGCTGACCAAAGATTCCCTCTTCACAGGGCAAGGTCGCCGAACTTCGTCTCGAGCTCAACAGCGGCGGCAAGAAGGACAAGAACTTCTCGGCTAAGAAGACGGCCCTCAAGAAGATTGTTGCCAACATGACAATGAGCAACAATGACATGGTCGCACTGTTCCCAGACATTGTGGGCTGCATGCATATACCGAGTCTAGAGATCAAGAAGATGTGCGTCGTCGATGGCTGTGTGCTTCGGTCATGCCAGTCGGGCTGACGTTTGACAGGTGCTTTCTGTATCTGGTCAACTATGCCAGGATAAAACCAGACATTGCCCTCAAGGCATTGCCCATCATACAGGAGGACATGCACGACAACAATCCTCTTGTGAGGGCGCTCGCGTTACGCACCATGTCTTACGTTCACGTCCGAGAATTTGTCGAGGCCACGGTACCCCATGCAAAGAACCTGCTGAAAGATGCGGACCCCTATGTTCGCAAGACGGCTGCCTTTTGCGTGGCCAAACTATACGACCATGATCGTCATTTAGTGGAAAACTCGGACCTCATTGACCGGCTCAACGGCATGCTGCGAGACGAGAATCCCACCGTCGTCTCCAGTGCATTGGCAGGCTTGATGGATATATGGGAACGCAGCGAAAACATCAAACTCACCATCGACTATGCAAGCGCATCCAAGATTGTCTCCATCCTTCCCGACTGCTCCGAATGGGGCCAGACATACATCCTGGAAGCCATGATGAACTACGTACCCCAAGATAGCGCCGAAGCTGCACTCCTCGCTGAGCGTATATCACCGCGACTTTCGCATTCCAACTCGGCCGTCGTACTCACCTGCATCCGCGTCATACTTTACCTAATGAACTACATCTCGGACCAAAAGGTCGTAACGTCTTTGTGTAATAAGCTGTCGCCGCCACTAGTTACCCTGCTATCCAAAGGTCCAGAGATTCAATATCTCGCCCTTCGCAATGCCCTCCTCATTCTCCAACGGCGGCCAGAAGTGCTACGAAACGATATCCGCGTCTTCTTCTGTAAATACAACGACCCAATCTACGTCAAGGTCACCAAGCTCGAACTCATCTTCATGCTTGCCACCGAGCGAAACATTAAAGAAGTGTTGACGGAACTTGCTGAGTATGTCTTCTCCATTTGCACTACCATATGCTGTGCCTGCTGACAGCGTTGTAGGTATGCCACAGAGATCGATGTCGACTTTGTACGAAAGTCGGTTCGTGCGATTGGAAAATTAGCCATCAAGATTGCACCAGCGGCGCAATTATGCATAAGCACATTGCTCTCCCTCGTCAGCACCAAGGTCTCGTACATTGTACAAGAGGCGACTGTTGTGATACGGAACATATTTCGCAAATACCCGAATCAGTATGAATCCATCATCTCCACATTGTGCGAGAACCTCGACTCGTTGGATGAGCCCGAAGCCAAGGCAGCCATGATCTGGGTGATTGGACAGTACGCAGATCGGATAGAAGACTCGGACGTACTGCTTGAGGATTTCCTCGACACATTTCAGGAGGAGACACACGAAGTTCAGCTGGCCCTGCTCACAGCCACGGTAAAACTGTTCATCCAGCGACCCACACGAGGGTCGACGTTGGTACCCAAGGTGCTGAAATGGGCCACGGAAGAGACGGACAATCCCGATCTGCGAGATCGGGGCTACATGTACTGGCGCCTCTTATCCTCGGCGCCGGATGAGGCGAAAAAGGTGGTCATGGGCGAGAAGCCAGCGATCACAGCCGAGGAGTCGGAGAAGCTGGATCCGAGCACGTTGGAAGAAATGTGTCTCAACGTAGGCACGCTTGCCACCGTCTACCTCAAGCCCGTCCATCAGGTCTTCCGATCGGCCCGACCCCGCAAACTGCAAGATTCACCTGCATTGCAGAGGTCAGAGCTGCCGACGGTCAAGGCTGCACAACAGGCGCGCGAACGTGCTGCGGTGGATCGGTCCAGGCTCGACACTGGGACGAATGGGAACGGGTCGCTGTCTCCGACGAACGGAAACGGGATGGCGAATGCGGTCAGTGATGCAGACATGTACTTTGCCAGTGTTGGAAGACAGAGCACGTTTGGGGGTTCGCCTGTTGCGGCGGATCAGGCAGGGGTTGGTGGTGGGTGGGTGGTGAACCAGAACGAGCCCCAGCATATGGTGCTTAGTCCGGGTGGCCATGACGGGAACCAAGATTTGTTGCTTTAGTTGTAGCAGAGGGGGGGGGGGGGGGGGGGGGGGGTGAATTTTTTTAAGGTCCCCGGGGGTTTAATAAAAAAAAAAAAAGA